GCTGCGTCTAGATGCATCAAATGTTTCATTTCCGTCGCGTTTGGTACGTTTGTACCATGCGTCTGAAACGCATCCGAAACGCGTTTTAAACGCGTTTACATTCAAAAAAATTTCACATGGGTACAACATGGTCCAACAATAGTCAACGGACTACGAATCTGTACAGCCAACGACTCTGCAGAAAGAGATCCAACTGTTGTATCGTTAGAAGGGAGTCATGTCTCAGGGATACCATTGATTCGCGGCACAAGTTGGACTCTGCTGTACAAAGGTGCTAGCGGACTTGAGAAAGATCCTGGACGAAGCAAATGTGGTCCCATTCAACATTTTGACAATGCAATCAAATACAAAAGCTATCGCTTTCTTGTCTCTGGCAAGCGAAGTGTCTCGAACAGTGTTCAATATTCTGAAGTACAATTATATAAATTTTGACGATGTATCCAATAAAGACATCTTGAATGATAAATTTATGAGCCGCTTTTCCATTTGGGTTTTACATGTACCACTTAAGATTACTTTACCTCCGGCATCAAAAGAACAAGAAGAGAAAAATATGACTATGCCATTATTTGCGTTATGTTTAGTTAGGAAAAGAATTGCTTTCTTAAAATGCAGTATAATACTTTGGGCAATGTCATTTATAGGAAGAAGGAAAAAAAAAGCGATCGAGTAATTTTTTTCTCGATAATTACACAGAACTGAACTTGAGAGTTATTGATTTCTATATGACTTAACTTTTTCGAACCCTATGTCTTCTCGTAGATGATATAGAGAGCGCATGAGCAATCTTTTTTTTCATCTCCTTAGAAGACGAATATTATATGTTTAATTGAGTTATAACACGTAGCTTTCTTATTTCTTACGTATTTATTTATAGTCAGAATAGATTTGAACACACCCGATTGAAGACGATAAAGAGAGAGAGAGATTTTTCTTTTTTTATGTTTATATAGAACGCAAGAAAGTGTTACGATCGAAAGTATTGAATAAAAACTTAAATGTCGATCGTAAGAACATGTTCAACACGCACAATTACTCTGTATTTTCTATTCATCTCATGCTGGCTTTTAGTTTTCTTCTCAATGATAAAAATATGTAACTTAAGAAAGCCAAAAACTCCTTTAGAAGAAAATGTCATACTTTTCTAGGGCCACTTTTTGAGAACAAATGGTTACGATTACCTTACATGACTTGTTTTGCTACTCCATCCACGAAACAGTTACAGTTTGTTCACAAAGATCTACTCCGTTTCATTCTCGTCAACTATCCTACCGATGCAATCACACATATGAACGGTACGGCATACGATTATTATTCGATCCAAGAATTTTTTGAGCATAAACCAAGACAAGAATGGCTTTCATTTCCCCTACCCGATGAATATTCAGCAAATGTCTGGCTCCCTAATAAACGAGATAAAACGACATTCAACGTGGTGAAATCACCTTCCACATTGTCGGGTTTAGCCTACGTCAAGCAGATATACGTTATGACTGATCAAAGTTTATCTGACAGACACGCACATATAAAGAACACATTCCGGCAACAAAATATTCCTATTGAATCTATTCAATGGCAATGGAAATGGAATCACACGGAGTGTAATTCCAACAAAAATAAAAAAGAAGTTTTCGAAAATTTGAATTTAGTCGATAAACCTGCAAGTATGTATTCACTCTCATTGATAAGTGTTTAACTTGATCTTTGTTGTGTATTCTAGAAGGGCATAGTCGATACTGTTCACTTATAATGAAAAATTTCGATGCCTGGGTAGCAACAGCGAATAGAAATTTACCATTAGCTTTATATTTAGAGGATGATGCGATTTTTGTTCCTTTTTTCAAAGAAAAGTTCAATCGTTTTGTCTATACTGCTATTCGAACTGGTGCTCTGAAGATCGACGGTGCCTGTGCGACTTCTTCGCTATCAAATACTAGCAATGAATGGGTAGATCAAAATCCAATTTTCTTCATTGGGAGTTGTTTGAATATGTCCGATTCTCGATTTGATGGAAGGCAACCAATGTTGTCAACACACAAAGGTCATCCGACACGGTGTGCTCATGCGTATCTATTTACCAGCTGTTCAGCTAGAGCTGTTCTTGAACAAATTGATATAAACAAAAACGAGCTATGGACACCGGATTTCTACCTGAATAATATCATACCAGCGTCTCCAACGCTTCAATCATTTTGGCTCGATCCACCATTGGTCTATCAAGGAAATAAAGCGAAAGACTTAGATAATATTCCGTCCTTTAAACGAAAAACATATTAAGAAATTTTTCTTCAATAAAAGCTTTTATCTTAGTCACCTAGAAGTGAAAGCTAATGACGGCGTCGTTTGTTATCTATGAGTATTCTATAAAATAAAAAGATTCAGATTGGTATGCGCTATTTGTGAGAACAATAAAAAAAAGTGATAAGATTCGGTAGATTTTAGATGGACAAATCAATTTCAGGACTTCTGATCTTCATTCTTCTCGTATCATCACGCAATTGACTGAAAGCAAAGGATATCCATGGAAAGAATACAAAGTGATAATTCCAGATGGTTATATTCTTGGTGTATATCGATTCCCACGTGGCCGAAACGCGTCGACTGCTTTCACAGTAGGTCCGCCTGTTTTTCCGCAACACGGTCTACTCAATTTGGGAGCAACTTGGGTAATTATTTTTCCCGGTCAAAACCTTAGTTTTATATTGGCTGCTGCCGGTTATGATGTCTGGATCGGCAGCATGCGTTGAAATTGTTACTCACGTGCTCATGTGAAATATAACCCAGATGACGATGAAGAATTCTGGGATTCCAATTATGATGAAATGGCTCATCTTGATCTACCATCAATGATTTACTTTGTTTTAAATGCGACGAAGCGAACACAGATCGGCTATGTCGGTCATTCACAAGGTGGAATGATTGGTTTTGCTGAATTCGGTCGTCTGGAAAGTACCATGAAAAACAATGTTAGCTTTTGGATAGTATTCACTCCTGCAGGTCGTCTCGGAAATATCCAGCCGCCGATTCGATAGTTATCAACAGTATCTGTTTAGAAAGATTTAGAACGTTATTGGCATCTACTATTTGGTAAAAATGAGTTCCTTTCATCGAATGTCATCCCTAGATGACTTGGTACCTACGCCTGTGGTACGAAAATTTGTTCTTCATCCATATGGGCCCGGAAAAAGAAAAACCTGAATCAAACCCGGATTTTCGTCTACACAGCGCATGAACCCAACAGTACATCAGTAAAAAAAACACACTAAAATCAAAGCGCGCCACTATTGTATACTATTAGCACCTTGAACGTTCCAACAGCGATTTTCTAGTGGCCATTACCGCCATTGAATGAAAACACCATTTAATTCTTTCTTCCATATCGATCTAGACGTACATCTGATTTGAACAAGGAGAGAGAGAGAACAGAATAAAGGAGAAAAGGCCGACATTGTGCACGACATTATTTAACGCTTATTATATTCTCTTTCTAAAAGTAGTAGTCATATGCGCGTCAATGAAATGCATAAATGATAACATCATCGATCTTAACCTTCTCAGCGCGGACAACGTAAATTTACATTCTTAGATCTTTCCAGATAGGTAAAATAATATTCTCCGTGTGTGAATAAATACAAAGACCAATGTTCTCGTCGAATAATTTATTCTTTTTTTTCTCATGAGTGTAGACGATCGAATAAAAAATAATCATCATTGTATGTTTGATTTACATATTGCATTCTTGACGTCGCATGTTGGTTAAATATGAATAAATTTTGGCATTACGATCTATCGAAAAATTTTTATTTACGTTAAATATTTTAGTATAAAACTCACATTGGTAAGGAAAATGTCTCGGTGTTACGTATAGAAAATAAAACATCATTATAACTTATCGCCTATTTTACAAAAAAAAATAAACTTCAATATCATCACATTGACACAGAGATTTCTAGAAGAAGAAATATTAAGTAAACATAACGAACACGATGATCATCTAAGAGAAAAATAAATCAAAGTTTTGTTTCACGTGATCATATAATTATTCCAATAATAATAAAAAGCATGAGCATCATTAAACCTGAATTGACATGATTAATTCGACTCGCACTATACGATGTTCGTAATGCCGAGCCACTGCAATATCCAATACTATTGTCCACCATTGCTAGGTAAGAACTATCTTGACTGAGAATTACACGGAGCGTCTGTCCGTACCATGTAAATCCGAGTGCAAAATTAGTTGGCATTGTCATAGCATAAGAAACGATATTTGAAGAACCAACACACCGACCAGAGAGACTTCCGTTTAATTGTAATAAACTGGCGCTGGTTGTTGTTAAGTAGATATAATTCGTAAAACAACAACATGTACTTGAATCACATGAACTATCGACTTGGTAGGTTCCCACCCAATTTGGTGTAGAAGAAATATCACCTCGAACTAAAACATAATTGGCAAAGAGATAGAATGTTTTAATAATAGTTATTTGATATTTACCGAACGGAGGAGTTGGCCGTTTAACAAGACCCAGTGGAATAGCAACTGCCGCAGCAACGGCTAAACCGATCGCCAAACCAAGAAGAAGTCCGAGTACACACGGTGTTGAACAACAAGTACGAGATTTACTAAAAACATTAGAACAAGACTTAAGAAAAATCTCTCAATTCGGGTACGCACGCTGGAGGAGTTAATTGTTTTTGGCTATATCTTGGTTCATGACGTGGATAGTCTTCATCATAGGGTCGTGCGCGTAACGATGAGACCCGTAATTCTTCAGGTTCTATATCATTGACTTCGTAATTGTGTCTTGCTGGTGGACCATTGCGGATGATATAGCGAGCTCCTGTGCTCATTGTCGTTCAATATGCTAAAATAAAGTTTACACAATGAAAAAAAAAACCAAGAAAAAGAACGATTCGTTAGAGGATTGCTCCAAGTAATGTGATCGTTCTTAACGTAAAAGTAAAATATGTTTATTCCACTTTGAGCTTCGAAATTTTTGCTTTCATAATAGAAAAAACCCGCAACGTTCTTTTTCTCTTTTTTCTAGGCAGAGAAAAAAGAAGCAGACGAACTTCTCTCTATATTTTTTTTCTTTGTTTGCATGATTGCACAGGAAGCAAAAAAAGAACTACACGAGTCTTACGTTGACGGTCGCAAATAGTACATTCGATTACTGCCACAAATAGAACAACTATTTACTAGATTCAGACAACAAACATATATTTAACGATGAATAAGATTTTATATTCCTTTTATGGAATATTCAGATGCAGAATGCATGAAGCCATTCGAATTATTGATCAGCGTATCATCGGCACCGTTGCAACGGGTGAAATTGCTCGTGATCATTCTTTGAAAATGTAAATTTTGACTCTCGTTGTTCTCTTTTCAAAGTACACAAACACAACTGTTTCATCGACACAAGGACATTTGGAGAGAAAGTGTGTTCGTGACAATTTTTCAAATTAGATTATCATCATATACAGTGATTACAACGTTTTTCTCAAGAAAAACGTCGGGCTTCTCGTGTCTTCTTTTTCTTTTCTCTACAGAGAATTCTTAACGCGTCGTCCAATATGTGAGTGTTTAATGAATGCGAAGAGGAAAGAAAAAAAAAAGAGAGAGAGAAGTAGGTAAGCGAACAGGAGATAAAAGACTTGTTTAACAATCCGATGTCTTGTGTGCTTGTTAGTTGTGTGACGATGTCAGTATTATCGCTTAGACTCTAACCTTGACCGGAAAGTGGTTACCATTGTTAATTTTCAGAGATTCTATCGAAGTCATGTGTCGTTGACGGTAACTTGCAAGTCATACAGTATATTCGTATGAGTAAAGAATCACAATCTTACTAGTCGCTTTAATGAACAAAGAACGAAAAGAAAAAACGAACGTCGTCCAATTGGTTACATATTTCTATCGATACATATTTGTATTCAGCTCAAATAGTACACTGTTTAAGTAACGAGTTCAGTCTATATCATTATAAAGTATAAGAGTGGTGCATATATCAAATAACGTAGATGGCGACAATCTGTGAATAGACAGACTGTGGTGATGTTTTTCTTTAATCAAATGGAAAAGAAATCTTCAACATCGTCTCATTTGCAAGAAGAGGACGAATGAAATGCATAAAAATAACAGATGAATAAGTCATTCAAACATTCTCACTCGATTTCAATGTCACTTGTAATTGATTGAAAATAAACAAACGATCATATTCGAATATATAAAATGAGGAATCTTTTCCTTTCAATCCTTAGAAATCAAACGCACGAAAACGTAATTAGGAAGTGAACAAGAGAGAATATAAGCACCAATGTATGGACCGTATATTGCAATATTTCAATGATCAAATCAAATAAGGAAAATGTACATCGCATGAGGTTCCTCAGAGTGAAGGGGATGTTGACCATGTTCAAATATCTTTCTTTGCAAACTGTCATCATATACTCATTATATGATTCAAAGGTACTGCTAAGAGATATACAGTGTAGGTGTCATTTATTTCTTTATATTGATGCATCGAAAATAGCATGTATCATGAATGAATAATGTTATACCACTTTTGTCTGTTGGATTTTAACATAGATGTCATTTGGTTGCGATCTCTCTATACAATTCAGTAGTATCGAGTACAGTATTACTATATCATGTTCATCAACCACTAAAACTTTTTCACTTGATAATATCGATGAAGTCGTGCTACATTCCTATTTATAGTCGTTTCCATGTGAAAAAGCGCAACCTTGAAATAATCATCCAAACATGTTTAACACAAAGTAATCTTCTATCGTAGATCATTAATCATTTTTCTGGTTACAAAATGACTCTAACTCCATCTAAGTGCTAAATAGCTTAGCCTGTTCAATACCTTTATGCGCCTCTAGTTTTTACTCATCTCAAAACATTTGTCACATACGTATTGAGATACCTCACAAGTTATCGAACATTATCTCAATGAATTCTACTCCTCTATTTTTGAATGGCTAATTGGCACGGTTTTTTCTTTTACGGAAAGTTATGTGTCCTATCTAATCATATTTCCTGAAATCGCCACACATCATTTTCGACTTACGTGCCTCAACACGAACATTGTATATCGAAACCGACAACAAATGATTATATTTGCGTGAGTATTTCCATAGATGTTAACATTTATTACTGCTATCTGTTTTGTATGAAGTCGATGAAAGACAAAGAACTATATATATATATAGGTCAAACTGTTTGTCGAAATAAACTTCTTCGCGATTCAGAATGATGTTATGTATTTGAAATCACTTTTAGGAGCAAAAAATATTTGTTTGTTATAGAATACTTCTTTTTGTCAATCATTTCGTGACAGGCAGAGAATAGAAATGCAAGAAATCTAAGTTAGCTATGTCAAAGATGTTTACGCCTTTGCCCATAATATCTTTTTTTTTTAAATGCGAAAGGCAAAATAGTATACGGAAGTAATAGATTTTTGCATTTTGTAATGAACACCTTTCCTTTATGAAGTCTGGCGTATAAAACTTTCAACCAGCATTCCTGTTCTGTCTCATTCGAAAAAATCTGGCACAACCACAGTCTAGTGAAAGAATAAGCTATAAAAATTCTTTAAACTCTTCAGAAAAATAATCCTCGCCGGGCCCTCTCATGACTATTCTTATAATGACAATTGAAACTCCCGGTGGTAGTTCATTTTCAAGCAAATCCAACATGCACTGAATAGTAACTTGTCGACTTTTGAGAATAGTCAAACAACAAAGAATCGACGTCAATGGATGTCAGTATTTACTAAGCAATAGAGACCGTTCGATCATATGCAAATTTATTTAAGAAATTATGGTGATAATTGTTGTAAATAATTGTGATTTGAACAAACAACCAGCAAGACTGACCATTTTCATTTGATGTCCAAAATATAAAAAAGCCTATAGAATCGTATTTTGCATGCGAGAGTGAGAGCATTTAAGAAAGATTTCACTATCAGAATACTTATTTTATTAACGAGTACTCTGAATTTCTCGACTTCTTGACTGCCCGGATTAAAATTCGATTAACAATAAGAAAGAAGCCACGCGAGTATCTATGAGTATGTAAAAAATGTAAATAGAAAAGGCAAGAGCAAAAGAAATTTTATATCCAACACAATTTTAATGATCTCCATCATTCACAGGGAGCATTCTAACTGGGGTGCCACCTTCCGGTATCCGAGCTATTGGAGTTTGACGAAGTATTTTCGTTCGTAACATTTGAGCAAACTCACGGCGAAATATATCCGATGAAACCATGAAATTCGCAAATGTCAATGAAAAACCTAAGTAAATCAATAGGTACGTCATATTGCTGACAAATGATTCTGCCGCAATTTGAAGTGCTGATTTTGACATGTTGATTGTAAACGAACTGTAGATGAGATAAATTGGATTGGGCACATTTAGAATGACGAACAGAATAATTTGATTCGCTAACATTCGATGCAATTGAACATCTTTCTTTGACATTCGTGGACTTTGTCCCACATTAGCACTGATACGCGCTTTGGTCTGCCGAACATTTCGTACAGTTAATAAGCCGAAGATCAGCATTAGAAGTATCGGAAGAGCGCCGCTGTCAAATGCAATATAAATAGTAAAGAATATTGCGTAATCACCTGATCGAAACGTACATGTGCCGCTTCCGATATCATAAAACGCGATGATTTGGATATAAATTACGGACCAGAAGATGACGTTGGCAATAATGAGTCGCAAAGCGATCTTTTGCGAACTCCATCGTCGTCGAAGTGCGATGTTTGAACTGGCAAAGTATCGGTCAATCGATGCCAAGATGATATAATAACGAGGAACAGCGACGAAAATGTAAAAGAGATAAAAACGGAGTTTACAATACCAAAGATTGCTATTAAGAGTGAGTATAGCATATCCAAAGTGAAGCATACGAGTGAGTAATGCGAAATTATATGTGAAAAATTGAGAAACGCTTGCCGAGAGAAAAAACATGGCACACGGACTATTGCGATACGTTGGTTGGGTGAAAACGATACACATGAGAATTGATCCAACATTACCAAGGATGAAAATAAAACCAAAACCGAATTGTGAGATTGCTCTGTTTAAAACACTGATAAGTGAGATAGTAGATGCATCGCTGCTACTAATAGAGCTGCTCATATTTGTATTATTCATTGTGCAAAGTGAAGTCTAGAGAAAAACTAAATCTGTCTTTGAGGAAAAAATGACATTCATATTCAGCAGAAAGTTTTTTTTCCTCTCTAACGTTGCCTACGGTACTCATGAGACAGCTGTACCCTAAAGTAATTCTCATCTGATTAACTGGAGAATATCAATGAATAAAGGGTTCTAAAAAGTGTCTTCGACCTTTATAAAAATAACTGAAAAGATTATTGAACGAAGCGCATATTTGATATATGTATATGCGTTACCTTTTCAAAATAAATTTTGAGAGATGAGATGATCGGTTGTTTAAGTATAATTAAGATAAAAGCAGCATGAAAGTAGATGTGAACGCGCACGCAGAGTTACATAGCCTATCAGTTCACGTTTCCAACTCTCCTTTGATGAGAGGTTATTTGTGTACCGGTCTAAATATTATTTTAGGTATTGCTAATTAAAAAGTTATGTTTATATCACAACCGTTAACAGAGTCATACTCATTTTTACTAATTACGACAGGGGTTGTTTAGAAGATAATGAGATTCTTTTCTTAGTAAGAAGTACGTCGTCTGAAGATTGAGAAAAACTAAACATTACTGTGAAATTATTCTATCGATTTTCCGTAACAAAAGTCAAGCTGCTCTTTTATCTAGGTTTGTCCAAAGTTCAATATTGTTGAGGGTAAGGGTGTTTTTTATTCATTTACATACAAGTAACATTTGTCGAAGCTGACTCGCTTTGCCCTCGACTGAATTAGTAACTCAAAATACAATAATCTTCGTATGGATTTGACACAGAAAATAGTTAGATACATATCCTTAAAAATGACCTTTCGAGCAAGGTCTCCATTCTTCTAAGAGTTTTAACAATTAGCATAAGGATTGTCATTGTTTTTCTTGTCTATCCAATGATCTGTATTGAAAATTACTGCGTTCGCATGGATCGGTAGTTTGCTAGGAATGAATATGATAAACTTCACGCCGTTAAGCATGTCTTCCTTTTCGATCAGAAAAAGGAATAATGCATAGTGACATCAGAGGAAATTCGATATAAATTTCGATTACCGGAAATAGCTGATCTTTGGTTCACGACCTTCAACAGACAAACAAGCATATTGTGATAGTTTGGTAATACTCTTTTCACCTCTCACCAACCATTATCAACATTGAGCCTTAAAACGTCCTCCAAACGATGTACCTTCGAGTTTGAGAATTTTCCAGAAATCTTGACTTTTGACCCTGACACAAACATACAGATACACACTCAAACTATTCTTTTCATAGAATCCTCCTTTCAGTCGAGATAATTTATATTTCCGTCCCCACTATAAGATGAAGAAGTGATATTGCTTAGGATTTCTCTCGATTCTAATCATCAAGAGTTCTTCAATTATATTTAAGGCAAATATAAAACTTGAAGAAATTTAAAGATTTTGTAACACATCACATTATATTCGATAAACAATCATGAGAAAGATGAAGGAGTCACTCCCATCGATAGTCTTATACATTGACTTGAGACTATGGTACCATTTTCCTCCGTAGCTACTTATCGTAGTAAATATAATAGCACGTCTATTTGTAAATCTGCAAACAGAAGTATGATTTCCTATGCAACAAATCTACTTAGCTAATAGAAAATCGGTGTTCTCATAAAAATCTATGCAACAAGTTTTATCAGTCTTTTGAGTTTTTTCAACTGAATATATTTCTCCAAGTTTAATTAGACCAAAAGAGTTAAGTTATTTCACACTGGCACTACCGAGTCCTGCTAGACTGATGATAAATATTAATTTCATAATCGATTTATATCTCTTTCGTATCGTTGATTTTATAGAAAAAGAATAAGTTCTATGAAAATGTTGTCTTATTTTGAAAATTTGATTTTAACTGTCATATACTTCAGCACAATATAATTATAATAGACAATCGTTCTTTGAATGCTAAAAGAGTCAATGAGAAGTTTTTTTTTTCATCGGAGTAAGCGAACTCGAAAACAATTGAATTTATTTGAATTGGAAATAATTCGCTTAGAAAATTATGATCAAAAAAGGCGATTATATCAACAAGAATTTATGCAATATCATTAATCATTTTTGTTGTTTACTCAATTTTTCAAGGTAAAGGTCAAATAATTATTATTTGAAATCCATCTGAATTTAAAATTCTTCACGAAAAAAATCTCCATATACAGATCATTTAGTGAAATTCAACCGCCATATCATCCAATTTGTTCAAGTCTATTTATTAATGAAATATTGATTAATCTTTTGCTTAATTATAAGTTAATATGAGTTATTATTATTCACTTGATTTTCGTTCAACATTTTCAGATCAATTGCTGAGTTGCCACAATCATTCAACGGTCACTGACAATTTATTTATTGAAGATTGGTCAACAACGAGTTCTTTTAGTAGATATTACAAAATCTGTTCATTTTTTCGGGTCATGTCAGTTCGTAGATACACCACTAACTGAATTGCTGATAGATAATTTCATTTATTATTATATTTAACATGAAATAGAAACTGAAAAAACACATTCAAGTGTTGTAACAATCTTTGTTTAAAGCACAATCCAATGAGATGTTTTTAGGAACGCGATTTTGAGGACGGAATCTGCCAAATTCATATATCGATATGTCAGTGTCTACCCATAGCTTATTACATTATGTGTCTTCGATTAAACAAGAGTTTTTTTTTCTTATGAAAAGCATCTGAAAATAATTGCACGAAAGAAACAATTCTTATGGTGTATTACGATATTTCATAATTAACTAGAGTCCATTTCTGGTGTTTATAGGGCTTCGTCTTCTGAAATAAATTTAATTTACTAGTAATTGAGCTATTTCTCAACTTAAATTATGGATAAAATGTATTTAATTTGTTCTAATTTTCAACTATAACTAATCTAAATTCATTTGACTTTACAGAAAAATACGACATCTATCTTGACCTATACGGCTAACATCAACAATATTGGGTTCCATATATGCCAATGGAATTCACGAGTTTATATCGCGAAGGTAACAAGTTGGAATAATTTCAGACATGTTTGATTACACTGGGTTTTTACCAGGTTCTCTTACTAAAAGTCAATAACATCGTTCTTTGTTATTTACTAAGAAAATCATTTAAAGAACAGTTCGAAAAATAACAATAGAATGACGGTAAGTTGTACTAAGAAAACAATAGAGAACCATATTAAGTTTCGTGATAGGACGATGAAACATCGGCGACAATGGCAACAACTTCTGTTGCTTCTGATCAAGAGGACACGGACAATAAAATTCAGGCTGAATGCATGGAAACAGTCAATATTTTATCAGAACGCGATGGTTGGACCTTATTAAACGCCCCGAAGTGTTCGGAAGAGGAATTGCAACAGGAAGTTGCTCGCTATGGTTTAGAGAATGATCCCCAAACAGCTCGCTTCTGTAGGTTTATTGCTGTAGCAACAAACTTTGCTTCACTGAAATTCGTCGAACGAATTCAACGTGTACCTGAACTCATTGAGAGTATTAAGCAACTTCTCGACGAAATTCAACGTGAAATGAACGAAATGAATGAAATGGGTACTTCATTTAAAGAATTGGTTCATTGTTCTAATTCTTTGATTCTAACTACACAGCACAATATGAGAAAGATGTTACCGGATCTAAGGAACGCCAAGGATTATATGGATATCATTGTTCAGTCCCTCGAATCCAATTCGAATCTACCTTTAAATGAACAAGATCGATCAGATATTGAAACAGCTTTGAATGGAATGTGCTTTGGTACTCGAAACTTGCTTCAGTTGTCGCAAAAATCGCGCGAACAAAGCGAAAAACTGGATCAGAATATTCGAAGCCTGCAGCAAACGGTCCAAAGTAAACGAGTGGTTGTAGAAGGTCGTATAGATTTCGGTGAGCATTTTAAGCACATTAGTCAAGCAATAGCCGCTTTTGGTGTCTACCAGGCTACTAACGCGCTCACGACGAATAGTTTGCAGCATCTGTCACGCATTCCTGGCTTCATTCAAGTTGGAAGTCGCATTTATCCACCTCTTCGAACTATCCTAATTTCTGTTGTTCTTGGTGGAATCACCGTGAGTTCCATCGGCATATTAGTTAAACGATTTTGGCTCAAGCACAATTATCGAGCTTTAGAAATCTTAGAAAATCTCTTCAATCATCTTATGAATCTCAACGAAGCAAATGATCATTTTACAAAGTATATGTGTGATTCAGAAGCGAATGCTAACGACGTTCTCACTAACATCGAAACATTACAAAGACAAATTACTTCAACTAGTCCACGTATACGACGAATGAATCAAGCAGTATGTCAACGAGCTTCTACAGCTACAAATAATATGATTGACTGTATTGAAAAGATTTTGGCCATTGATATGACTGGCTGGACTTCGTCTGCTGTTCAACGTGTTGCTACGAATCAGAATAACACACTTTCATTGCAACAATTACCTCAACTAACATACGAATGTGATTAAACGATGTATTTCTCCTTACTGATAATAAAAGAATAACCTGGAATCAAACAAAAGTCTCAACAAATATATCTATTAGCAAATCAAGTTTTAGATTAGTTTTCTAGGTGTCCAGATGGCGTAGATAGTTCATTTATAGAGAATGTACGTCCTATTCCTAAATGTGCAACATTGCGGAATAGGATGACTGCTTCATTTATACCATTTACTAAACGTTACCTAGGTAGATCAAGGAGCAATCCTAGAGTCGGATCCGATTGGAATCTGTCGAATTTTATCGGATTCTACAAATCCCTAGAACATTTCATCGGGGTCCGAGGATCAGAATCGCATTGGATTCCGACAGTTTATAGGATCCTACCGGACCTAGTTAACTTGAACCGACAAAAACCAATAGTGAAATAATTTTTTGCAGATATGCAAAATAGAATGATACACAATGGAAACGAAAATAAATGGTAACTATTTCAATTCTTTTTTTATTGTGCACATATACTTATCCACAACAAGTAAGCGTTATATCCTTTATCGGATCGATAGCTAACATAAAATTCTTTCTTTTTCGAAAACAAAAAGGACTCAACCTTCCTGACTTTAATTACAACAAAATAACAGATTGCAATAATGTCATTTATCAGGATTTTTAACAGGTGAGTTTTATTGATGTTTTTTAGATATTGTCATTTGAGACTCCAGTGTCATTGGAAGCAGACAGATCTGTTAATCCATTGGAAATGACATTTTCACTCTCATGTGGTGGACAGAGTTGCCATTTCCTGAAGACTGAAAGGCGGAAATTTTCTCTCAAAAAGCGGAAAACAAGAACCTAGAAAAGCAGAAAAAAGCGGAAAAGAAGATTCTTCATAATTTTCGATGATAATGCGATTTCAAGTGCTGACTTCACAAATGGTGCGCATGTATTTCACAAAATTTCAATTTCATATGTCGATCAACGTCATTCTTGCCACCATGATGAATCGAAAATTGTTCATTGCAGACTATACAGTGAGCCTTCATTCGATCCGGTTTGTATTCTCGTAGAAATAATTTGAACTGGGCATCATTCAACCACTGTTGATTAAAAACACCTTTTTTTTCCTTTTTACCGGGAGAATCTGATGTCGCATTCGAAGCTTTATTTCCCATTTGTAACGATAATGATATCGTTCATCTCTTTCTGTTCTTTATTCTCTCACCTCTATATCATACTATCTCCGGGTCATATCTCTCTTTCCTCTTCTCTATATAAGCGCGTGTCTTATTGTGNATAGGTAGTGTATAAATTTCAAAGCATAAACGTTCGACTCTACAAAATTAGAGTAACTGGGAATGTAATTAAGCTTTCTGCAAATACTGGCGGTTCGGTGGAATAAAATACATAGATGATAATATAATTTATATCGTAAGAATTTCCTGAATCTTTCTAGAAAAAAACTCAGAATGAGCTATAAAACGTGAACAGATAATGTTCAACAAAGCATGATTCAACTAAAATCAGCGTTGACGTTCATGATATTTTGACTTGCGTAAGTGATACTATGTTTTTCTATGCTCAATCGACAAATAGCACGTGCTTGTGCGATTAACCTATGTCAAGAAAGTCTTGGTCAGAGTTGCCAGCTCATGAAGACTGAAAAGCGGAAATTTTCTCTCAAAAAACGGAAAAAAGCGGAAGACAAGAACCTGGAAAAGCAGAAAAAAGCGGAAAAGAAAATTCTTCATAATTTTCGATGGTAATGAGATTTCAAGTACTGTCTTCGGTGGTCAGTATCGCTGACTATTAACACTACAACTAGTGGCGTTTTTGCTCCACCGATACTAACTAAAATGATAGCCTTCATACGGAATGAACCTTTAGTTCTTGTGGCACTAGGTGTCAAAATCGAATGAAAATTCTGATGAAATTCTTACGATATAAATTATATTATCATCTATGTATTTTATTCCACCGAACCACTAGTATTTGCAAAAAGCTTAATTACATTCCCAGTTACTCTAATTTTGTAGAATCGAACGTTTATGCTTTGAAATTTACACACTACTTACGTTAAGATTTGTTGTCATAGAATGTAGATAGCATCATCTCTAGGTGAACAACGTATATCATAAACTAATGGCAATCTCTGAATTCTGAAGCGACAATATAGACTTTTCCTCGTTAATACTATTGAGTTTAACACAAATTGACTATCGACTGTACTTTAATGTAGAAGTTTCAATGACCATCGTCCTTTTGTATGTGTAGTACTGCATTGTTTTTGCGCAGTTCATTTATTTTCTCTAGCAAAAAAACTACTGAAGTGATGATACTTTTATAGTTCAGTTCGGTTCTTGGCAATGCATCCATATCTATCTTTTGAAGTAGCTTCGTGTTTCTTCATCACTTTCCGAATTTTTTCAGATTGTTGTTGACTATGTAAATTCAACGTGCGATGTATTTCGTTTCTCTTCCACAAATGCTACCGAACGATTTTAACGAGTTCTTTACGAAAGATTGTACCCGTCAGTGTATACAAATAAAAGCTTGTCGAGTGAGCAAAATACGTCAGCACATTTGCAATTTTGAAAGCCAAATTTTCCCAGGCGAGTCGAGTGGCATCTTTCGGTAAGCTCGCAGTAAACGACGCGTACAGTCGATATACAGAGAATGGCAACGTTGAAAGAACGATGGCAAGTACTTGAGCAGTCAACATACATGCGAGTTGACGGTCTATGCGTCGAGATGTGACTTCTGAACGTATCCTCCGAGATTGATGAATATTTCTAACTGTTAACATGCCGAAAAGAATCATTAGGAGAGATGGGCAAAGGGAATAAAACACCATACTCCAAAAGGCAATGAACTTACGATAGAACCCTGCTTGACCATAGCATGCAGGTATGAGATTTCCGTATCCATCAAATGTATACGTAATTTCATAGTAGATCGGCATGTGAATATGAAGAATAATGAACAGAACTACAATAAAATAAATAGCTATCTTCGCTGTTCTTAATGAACTCAATCGGCGGATGTGTACTTTTGTCGACGATTTCAAATAACGATCAACACACGCCAAGACAATTAACCAGCAAGGTATTGTTCGTACGACATAAAAGACAAAGAATTCAAGTTTACAAATTCCGATATTGTAACTTGTGATATCCGTATTAAATCCTTCGGAAGCAATGCGTATCGGTACGATAACCAATATGACAAATAAATTGAAGCATGTCGACGAGAAAAAATAGAGTGAACATGGTTCATTGTGAAGCGATGGCCTGGTGAAGATTATTACATTAAATACTAGGCCAATTGCACCGAGAGCCAAATTGATAAATGATACAGCGATAACTATTGATACTATTGCAGCATTTATTCGGTTGATCGTGTCGCCAATGGAGGACATTTCTGGATTTCAAGGACAAGTTCTGTGTCATAAAATATATTTTTTTAATCCGCAGATAATCGTTGTTTATCTCACACTAATTTCTGCCTGCAACGTCCGCTAATTGGAAACTATTTTCGGTCTCATTATGTGTTTTGTGTTTCCGCGTAACACAAAGAATCGGAATAGATGAAAAGAAGAAATCATCAGCGATTATGCGGAATGTACGTGAGACCTAGTATATAGTCTTTCTGTTTAAATAATTATTATTATACGAATGATTCTGTAATAATTTGCCAAGCGAACAAATCTATTTCGCTCTGTGTGTATGTGTTGTATTGAATGATCTCGTTATATAGCTATATCAAACTACCAACGTGTACCAGATAGTTAAATTTGAAACGCTTTACACCAACACATAATATTCGAATACATACACACACAACGTGATTCAATGGCCTTCCATCTGCGTGGTAAAAGAAAGAATAATTTTTCTTCTCTCCTTTCCTTTTCTTCCACGTGGTTCGTGTAAATAACCCGTTTTCTTTCACATTTCACTCCTCGTACGTTTTACGTTACTGATAATTGAATCACAAATGTCAGCAGAATTAACCAATATCTACAACCAGCTATATACGAATGCAATTGACAAAATACAATCTGACCAGTATGAGACGGATGGTATGATCGATTCACTAGATGATAAAAGATTTGGTATAACGCTGATCATCAAACCGAATGAACAAATCAAAGAAGAAATTCAAACGTTTCTTGCTGCTTTGCGCCGAATCGAACCCGATCAGTACTACTATCCCTCGTCTGATATTCATATCACTGTTCTACCAATTATTTCATGTCATAACGGGTTTCAATTAGATCAAATTTCAATTCAAGATTATACTGATCTCATCCGTGAGAACCTCTCAATAGACGGAAAATTAGAAATTAAGTTTCAAGGTATTACAGCTTCGTCCTCATGTATTATGATCCAAGGGTTTCCACAACAGAATTCATTTAATGAAGTTCGTAATAAACTCAAATCAGCATTTAAAGCTTCTTCGTTACAACAGGATATTGATAAACGATATCTAATGCAAGCAGCACATGTCACTGCTGTTCGGTTTCGGAAACCATTTGTCTCCAAGGAAGCATTTCTTAAAGTACTTGAAGATCATAGGAATTACAATTTTGGAACAATGACAGTGAACGAAATGGAGTTAGTTTTTAACGATTGGTATTTGAAAGAAAAAATTGTTCAATCATTATCCCGATTTTCAATATAATAAAAAAAATTCGCGGATTTTTCTTGCTACACATAGTTATTGTTGTCGACATAATGAACATATTACGATTTTTGATTTTTCTGATCAAACGGTGAATAAGCATGGTATTTTTATTGGTTGGATCGTTCTCCAAAATTGTTAGAGAACAGAATGACTAAAGCTCCCTCTTTGAACATAATTCTATATAGAACGATTGGTAGATTTTCTTTTTTTTACTTCGGGAATTTTCCCAGTGCTGTTTGACCACAGTAAACGTTTCTTCCAACATAAATTAGGATGGCAACGATTACGCGCACACGACGAAGAGAAGTAACGACTACAGTTGATGATGGGCTGAGAAATTCGTCGCAAGATTTTCGCAATGTTGTTCACGCAGTTGGCACTGGAATGCGAGACATCGCACGAACAACGGCTGAAGTTCTTGGCGAATTTCAAGATGCATTAAAACCGCTAATGTCAGAGTTCAGCGCGGAGGAACAGAACCAAATATATAGTGCATTCCTTGAATATCACGAACTACTAACGACAAGTCAACGATTTCTCACAAGAGCGCTGATACTAGCTGCTCGAGCTTGGACATCAACTGAATTAATGGCATCGATCGATATCCAGATGATACGAGACATATGCTCGACTGTCAAAGCATTATTCGAGAAATTTTTAAAAATCAATCCAATTCTTCAAGAAAAACTTAAAGATCAACCAGCACTTAAACGATGGAGAAATATTCTTGGTCTTTTTGCGTTTATTGGTTTTTGTTCTATAGGAATTGGTACTGCAGTAGCTCGATTCACAAGTGTGGGCTTTACAACAGGAATGAAGGCGTTCTAGACTGTTGCGGGATCAGTGACTGTTGCTACTACAGCACCGGCAGTGATGGCACATGTCGCTCAACATGAAGCTGAACTAAGTCATCTTAAAAGTACTTTAGTAGAAATTCGCGGTGTACTCACAACATTGAGCCAGAATTATCCAAAAATTGAAGTGACGGCTCAAATCTTATCCGATGGTGCCCATTCAAGACAAGACTTTATTCAACTTTTAAAAGACACACAGGCTGAAGTTGACAAAGGCTTCGCAATTTTGCGAAATCTATAACATTTTCCGCTATTTTCCACATGCTTAAAAATATTTAATCTAATAAATTCCTATCAAATCGGTTTTTTGTCTCAACATTATAGAGACATCTTTAGCATTAGTTTGGCGGTATAATTGCTACTCATTTATTCATATTCAAAAACAGAAAGTCTACAATAAGCTGCACATACAAGTTCGGATAAGCATCAAATCAATAATTATTTAACTTGTTCTACACATTCGCTTCACTATGAACATTGCAACCAATTGACAAATCACAGCCACACCACCAAACAGACCAGTCAGCGTTGTCACTGCATTGGTCATATTTCGCTCATCAACATATGAATACACACATAATGATGGAGAACACGCTTCGAAATAGTCTTCATAACTCACAGTGTGCATCAGTTTTTCGACCATCAGTCCATTCACAAGTGTCTGGATGGTTTCATTCAATGCAAATCGACTGGTTAATAGTGCAGAAGACATGTTCATTACTTTAAAAGTACTTGTTGGGTCAATACACTGTTGATCATAGAGACAAGATAATGTTGATTGCAGAAGTGCTTCGAGTGGATAACAACCAGTTAACATTCCTCGTGATGAACTTGTACATGTAGCTGAAGATGAACAACTGCATTTATCGTAAGTTAATGGTAGGATATGTGGCTGGTGTCTGTACTCAAAAACATGATCAATATTCATTACCCAGTTGGTCATATAGACGGACATCAGCATGTTGCCATTCGTTATCCCACGAACAATCGAAAAGCTATTCACAAATGTCTCAGGCATTGTTAATTGGAATTCCTTCACCATTGTTTCTATTCGATTATGTAACACCTCGAATGGTAACAGTTGATTGTTGATAAAGTCACTTATTCCTAATTGAAGAATCGCATCCATCACTGTCTCTTTTGACAGCTGACAAATCAATGAAAGTGACTGAAACTGGCCAACAGCTGAATAGAGAAAGTCACTCGCCGGTATCTGATCATCGGAGAACTTCTTGTGAAACAGATACGAGATCCATTCATTAGACACAAATTCACTCGAACAGATCGCATGGAAAATAGGCGTGATGTTGAGAAATGATTTGTGTTTGACTGACAACTGTGAACAAGAACATTCCAAAGTATAAGAAGATCGTTCGAGTAGATTTTTGTAGATAGGTAACGAAGGTTTGCTCACTTGGACGGTGACAAGACGAGGAGTGAATGCCGAGAACATGCAGAATCCAGTGAGAATGCAAATAACGAGGAGAATGTGAAGTCGACGAATGATTCTACTTTGTGTGTCACAGGTGAATAGCTGTCGAAGAATCGAACGAGACAATCCGAAAGTGATAAGTTTGTAAATCAGCTGAAGAAAAATCTGTATGATAATGTTCAGTCCGAGTGATATGCCAGAGAAAACACTTATGATGGTTGCGATAATAAAGAAGAGATCGCTGCGACCTTGGTATTGATAAGAACAAGCATGTGGTGCACAGATGTTGAAATAAGAAGCAAAGGAAACATTTGATGGCCAACCATCGATCATCATTCGATTGACAAGCGTTTCGATTGTTTCAGTGTATGAACTTAGATTCGGATCGAGAGGTGAAAAATCGAATGACGTTTGATTATACAGAATATAGTGCATTGTTGTCATGATTGAAAGATTATAAAATGACTGTAATGTTGATGAAAATAATCCATGTATTGGATAGCAACCACGAAAGATGTTTGGAACCGTAAACTCTTCGACATAGGGAACTTCTATGAAATATAAAATTGTTATCGGAAAAAGACAAGATCTATTCAAAATGCAATCACATTCAGGAAGATATGACCATTCGTATAAATTTCCATTTGAGTCGCGCCGTAAAACAGGAGAGAAATTATGATCGGCACTAATTAACTGATTTCCATCTATACTTTGACGTATTAACTGAATAGTGCTTTTGAACGTATTCAGAGTTGTCACTTTCCAGTCTTCGATCAGCGAGTTCATCTGTTTTTCAAAAAGTTCTTCGGATATCATTTGTGAACTGACGAACTGTGATTGAAGAAATATATCAAGTGCATTAGTAATCGTTTCATTAGCCAATCGACAAACTATCGATAATAATTTAAAATACGTGCTGCCGACAAAGCGGTAGTCCATAGGCAGCTGAGTAGCAGAGTGCGTGTCATCTATGTATTTGATCCATCTATCAGAAATCAGATCACTCGTACATAATTGATGATACTGAGGTTGGATTTTTACAATATCGGAATAAGGTATAAGCGCGGAACTGCACGAACATGACAATGATCGTGGATATTGCTTTTCAAGGTAGCTAAACTGAAGTTCAGTTGGATCGTGTACAGTTTTCGATTGTGATGACTTTGCCAAGAATGTATAAAATGTGAAAATGCTTGTCATCGCGATCAATAAACATATATAGATTCGCGTTGCATAGCGTTGTAAACGGATTTCTCGATGAGTGCTACGATCTCGCTTGAAAATATTTAGTTCGATCATAATCTTTTCAGTGAAGTTTTTCAGACTTCGTAAGCGGTTTTTGACTAAACATAAACAAAAGAGAAAATAATCTAGCTTGATCCTAGAAAAGATAGGCGTCGCACTATTTTATCTCTCTGGGATTTCTCTTTAGCTAAAGCATCAACCGAAAGTGGTAATTTAAATCTCCACTTACAAGACATCCGTTGTATTGGTGTTCGATCTTTGATTTTTAAAATCAGTCGAATAGCAAGCGAAATAATTAGTTCAAACATCAATATCAAACTAGGTAATAAACTAACCACTTTTTCTAAAGCGTAAACAAAACCACGTCGAGATGTGTGCAAATAATTACACATAGATGGTGCACATTTTTGATAATATTCATCATAGGACATATACGTCATCCACTGCTCAATCATCAGACCGGCAACTATCGTTTGCACATCTGAATCTAAGGTGAAGATACTCTGCATGTAAGGTATCATGGCTTTGAATGTTTGATTTGTTGGAAAATACGAAATGATTTCGTCTACACAAAGCTGATCGTAAAAACATTCCAGTGTTGAAAGAAGTAAGGAATATGTTGGTAAGCAGCCATCAGAAATTCCGGGTATTGACCATGCCGGATAGTAAAATGTTGAAGTATATGAATTTGGAGCAATTTTGAAAAACCATGCTAGTACTTTACGACAGCCGAGCCAATTGTCGCATTCACAAGTGTTACCGTTCACTTCATCATAGTTTAAATACAGTATATTGAGTTTAGGACTCTGATAATGGTATATAAAATTGCTCATCAATGCCGTTGCCAAGTGGTTGTTAGTCACCATTTCATTGATCAATCGAATTTGAGATTGAAAAAGTTTTGGCGCTTTGAGTTTCACTTGATTAACGACTTCTTTGACATGAAACTGAAGATCGTCTTTTTTGAGAACTTGCGGACTTAGTATTGTGCTTTGAAAAAGAGAAGATCTTCTATATTCGATCGTTGATTTCGACAAACGACAGAATGTAGCAAGTATCTGAAATTGAGCACTGCCATACGCTCGAAAATCGCCTAGGGAGTCAAGTTCCGATTGTGCTCGAAAGTCAATTGCTTTAATCCATCGATCGCTGACAAAGTCACTCGAACATACTTGATGAAAACTCGCGTTCAGCGAAACAAATTTACCATACGGAATCGATATCTGTGAACAGGAACACGTTGCATCGACAGGGAGAGAGTCGAATTGCTCGCGTGTCGGACTCTTGATGATAATGATGGTCGTTTGTCGAAGTAAAGATATGACAAGCGTGAGAATGACAAGAGTTAACGTGAGAAGTATGAGGTAGACGCGAGTACCAATAATGTTCCATCGACGTTGCTGATCAGTTTGTGTTTCGTTAGAATCGGATGAGAGTGCGAATAAATTCAGATTGAGAAAGTATTTCTTTATAGTAGACATTCTGTTCGACAAACCTCTTGTTCTACGCGATGAAAGAGAACAAGAATCATACAGATTTAGTTAATAAAACTATTCATTTGACGTCAACGATAACCGGATTTCTATAGTCATCGATCCATCATTTATAAGCGAGATGTTGATTATTTCATGTGCGTATACATGCTCCTAGATTCTGACGTATTGTTATTTAGCAACAAGTCACATAAAAAACACGCCCTGTGCAATATTACCAAACATGAAACTTTCACTTTGTCATTCTCTGAATAATTCTTGATTTTATGCAAAGATGAAAACGAATAGGATTACAGTTGTTACGCACAATATCGTCAAAGTTCACAATGTAACGTTCTAGATTACATTTAATGTTCATTCTTCTTATTTTTTAGTCTCCTTCGATCGATCCTAGTTTAGTCGTTCAAAAAATGGGCGAGCCAACACACACTTCGTATGATTGTTTTATAAAAAGTAATAACTAAGAAGAAAATCTGTACTATTTTTTTCGTTAGATATTTCAGTAATCGAAAGAGAAAAGTTCTATGTGCCGCAGTATTCGTCGTAGTTGTTGTACTAGTCATGTTGAACATTCTGATCCCGATAGTTGTTGTTAGAAGGAACAAAACACACTCATCTTCGTTAATAGCATCAACACCGACGGTGATAACAACAACAATGATCACTGGATCAAGTACAATTACAGAGGAAGGTATAGTTTAGTGAAAGAAATGCTTCTCATCGCAACTGTAATTGTAATAATATTCTAGGTCAAGTATCACTTGTTGCCGTGAAGAAAAGCGTTAAAGGTGTACATCATACAGTTATGGGTGGTAGTAGTATGGAAGCAGGAGCCGGTGATGATTCGGGACATTATTTACCATATAACACTCCAGCTAAGGCTTGTGATAACGATTTAACAACTAAATATGTGAGTTTCGGACCATGTTATTTGTATAAGGATGGTGATATGTGTGGATTGAATACTGGTTTTTATCTTGAACTACAACATGGTCCAACAATAGTCAACGCACTACGAATCTGTACAGCCAACGACTCTGCAGAAAGAGATCCAACGGTTGTATCGTTAGAAGGGAGTCATATCTCAGGGATACCATTGATTCGTGGCACAAGTTGGACTCCGTTGTATAAAGGTGCTAGCGGACTTGAGAAAGATCCTGGACGAAGCAAATGTGGTCCCATTCAACATTTTGATAATGCAATCAAATACAAAAGCTATCGCTTTCTTGTCTCTGGCAAGCGAAGTGTCTCGAACAGTGTTCAATATTCTGAAGTACAATTATATAAATTTTGACTATGTATCCAATAAAGACATCTTGAATGATAAATTTATGAACTGCTTTTCCATTTGGGTTTTACATGTACCACTTAATTAAGATTACTTTACCTCCGGCGTCGAAAGAACGAGGAGAGAAAAATATGACTATGCCACTATTTGCGTTATGTTTAGTTAGGAACAGAATTTCTTTCTTAAAATGCAGTATAATACTTTGGGCAATGACATTTATAGGAAGAAGAAAAAAAAGCGATCGAGTAATTTTTTTCTCGATAATTACACAGAACTGAACGTGAGAGTTATCGATTTCTATATGACTTAACTTTTTCGAACCCTATGTCTTCTCGTAGATGATATGGAGAGCGCATGAGCAATCTTCTTTTTTTGTCTCCTTAGAAGACGAATATTATATGATGTTTAATTGAGTTATAACGCGTATCTTTCTTATTTCTTACGCATTAGTTTATAGTCAGAATAGATTTGAACACAGCCGATTGAAGACGAGAAAGAGAGAGAGAGATTTTTCTTTTTTTATGTTTATATAGAACGCAAGAAAGTGTCACGATCGAAAGTATTGAATAAAAACTTAAATGTCGATCGTAAGAACATGTTCAACACGCACAATTACTCTGTATTTTCTATTCTTCTCATGCTGGCTTTTAGTTTTCTTGTCAATGATAAAAACATGTAAGAAAGCCAAAAACTCCTTTAGAAGAAAATGTCATACTTTTCTAGGGCCACATTTTGAGAACAAATGGTTACGATTACCTTACATGACTTGTTTTGCTACTCAATCCACGAAACAGTTAGAGTTTGTTCACAAAGATCTACTTCGTTTCATTCTCGCCAACTATCCTACCGATGCAATCACACATATGAACGGTACGGCATACGATTATTATTCGATCCAAGAATTTTTTGAGCATAAACCAAGAAAAGAATGGCTTTCATTTCCCCTACCCGATGAATCTTCAGCAAATGCCTGGTTCCCTAATAAACAAAATAAAACGACATTCAACATGGCGAAATCACCTTCCACATTGTCGGGTTTAGCCTACGTCAAGCAGATATACGTTATAACTGATCAAGGCTTATCTGACAGACACTCACATATAAAGAACACATTCCGGCAACACGATATTCCTATTGAATCTATTCAATGGCAATGGAAATGGAATCACACGGAGTGTAATTCCAACAAAAATAAAAAAGAAGTTTTCGAAAGTTTGAATTTAGTCGATAAACCTGCAGGTATGTATTCACTCTCATTGATAAATGTTTAACTTGATCTTTGTTGCGTGTTCTAGAAGGGCATAGTCGATACTGTTCACTTATAATGAAAAATTTCGATGCTTGGGTAGCAACAGCGAATAGAAATTTACCGTTAGCTTTATATTTAGAGGATGATGCGATTTTTGTTCCTTTTTTCAAAGAAAAGTTCAATCGTTTTGTCTATACTGCTATTCGCACTGGTGCTCTGAAGATCGACGGTGCTTGTGCGACTTCTTCGCTATCAAACACTAGCGATGAATGGGTAGATCAAAATCCAGTTTTCTTCATTGGAAGTTGTTTGAGTATGTCCGATTCTCGATTCGATGGAAAGCAACCAATGTTATCAACACACAAAGATAATTCGACACGGTGTGCTCATGCGTATCTATTTACCAGCTGTTCAGCCAGAGCTGTTCTTGAACAAATTGATATAAACAAAAACGAGCTATGGACACCGGATTTCTACCTGAATAATATCATACCAGCATCTCCAACGCTTCAATCATTTTGGCTCGATCCACCATTGGTCTATCAAGGAAATAAAGCGAAAGACTTAGATAATATTCCGTCCTTTAAACGAAAGACATACTAAGAAATTTTTCTTCAATAAAATCTTTTATCTTAGACACCTAGAAGTGAAATGTAATGACGTCGTCGTTTGTTATCTATGAGTATTCTAAAATAAAATAAAAACATTCAGATTAGTACCTGCTATTTGTGAGGACAATAAAAAAAGTGATAAAACTCGGTAGATTTTATATGGACAAATCATTTTCACGACTTCTGATCTTCATTCTTCTCGTATCATCACGCAATTGACTCAAAGAAAAGGATATCCCTGGGGAGAATACAAAGTGATAACTCTAGATGGTTATATTCTTGTGGTGTATATCGATTTCCACGTGGCCGAAAAGCGTCGATTGATTTCGAAGTAGGTCCGCCTGTTCTTCTGCAACGCGGTCTACTCAATTCGGGAGCAACTTGCGTGATTAATTTTCCAGGTCAAAGCCTTAGTGTTATATTGGCTCATGCTGGTTATGATGTCTGCATTGGCAACATGCGTAGAAATTGTTACTCACGTGCTCATGTGAAATGATTGATTTTGCTAAATTCGGCTGTCTGGAAAGTACCGTGAAAAACAATGTTAGCTTTTGGATAACATTCGCTCCTGCAAGTCGTCTCGGACATATCAACAGTATGTGTTCAGCAAGATTTAGAACGTTATTGGCATCTACTATTTGGTAAAAATGAGTTCCTTTCATCGAATGCCATCACTAGATGACTTGCTACCTACGCCTGTGGTATGAAAATTTGTTCTTCATTCATATGGGCCCGGAAAAGAAAAATCTGAATCAAACCCGAACTTTCGTCTACATAGCGCATGAACCCGATGGTACATCAGTAAAAAATACACTACAATCAAAGCACGCCACTACTGTATACTATTAGCACCTTGAACGTTCCAACAGCGATTTTCTGCGTGGGTGAAGGTTGACTCGCCCACCCGACAGAGATGAATTTTATCTTCAACAATATCCCAAGTGAAACACTTCACTTATATTTCCGAAAATTTCGTCCGGATTACAATCATGCAGATTTTCTAGTGGCCATTATCGCCATTGAATGAAAACACCATTTAATTCTTTCTTCCATATCGATCTAGACGTACATCTGATTTGAACAAGGAGAGGGAGAAGAGAATAAAGGAGAAAAGGTCGACATTGTGCACGACATTATTTAACGCTTATTATATTCTCTTTCTAAAAGTAGTAGTCATATGCGCGTCAATGAAATGCATAAATGATAACATCATCGATCTTAACCTTCTCAGCGCGGACAACGTAAATTTACGTTCTTAGATCTTTCCAGATAGGTAAAAGAATATTCTCCGTGTGTGAATAAATACAAAGACCAATAGTCTGGTCGAATAATTTATTCTTTTTTTTTTCATGTGTAGACGATCGAATGAAAAATAATCATCATTGTATGTTTGATTTACATATCCCATTTTTGACGTCGCATGTTGGTTAAATATGAATAAATTTTTGACATTACCATCTATCGAAAAATTTTTATTTACGTTAAATATTTTAGTATAAAACTCACATTGGTAAGGAAAACGTCTCGGTGTTACGTATAGAAAATAAAACATCATTATAACTTATCGCTCATTTTATAAAAAAAAATAAACTTCAATATCATCACATTGATACAGAGATTTCTAGAAGAAAAAATATTAAGTAAACATAACGAACACGTTGATCATCTAAGAGAAAATAAATCGAAGTTTTGTTTCACGTGATCATATAACTATTCCAATAAGAATAAAAAGAATGAGCATCATTAAACCTGAATTGACATGATTAATTCGACTCGCGTTATACGATGTTCGTAATGCCGAGCCACTGCAATATCCAACGGTATTGTCCACCATGGCTAAGTAAGAACTATCTTGACTGAGAATTACACGGAGCGTCTGTCCGTACCATGTAAATCCGAGTGCAAAATTAGTTGGCATTGTCATAGCATAAGAAACGACATTTGAAGAACCAACACATCGACCAGAGAGAGTTCCGTTTAATTGTAATAAACTGGCGCTAGTTGTTGTTAAGTAGATATAGTTCGTAAAACAACAACATGTACTTGAATCACACGAACTATCGACTTGATAGGTTCCCACCCAAGTTGGTGTAGAAGAAATATCACCTCGAACTAAAACACAATTGGCAAAGTGATAGAATGTTTTAATAATATTTATTTGATATTTACCGAACGGAGGAGTTGGCCGTTTAACAAGACCCAGTGGAATTGCAACTGCAGCAGCAACAGCTAAACCGATTGCCAAACCAAGAAGAAGTCCGAGTACACACGGTTTGGAACAACAAGTACGAGATTTCCTAAAAACATTAGAACAAGACTTAAGAAGAATCTTTCAATTCGGATACTCACGCTGGAGGAGTTAACTGTTTTTGGCTATATCTTGGCTCATAACGTGGATAGTCTTCATCATATGGTCGTGCGCGTAACGATGAGACCCGTAATTCTTCAGGTTCTATATCATTGACTTCGTAATTGTGTCTTGTTGGTGGACCATTGCGGATGATATAGCGAGCTCCCGTGCTCATTGTTGTTCAATATGCTGAAATAAAGTTTACATAATGAAAAAATCAAGAAAAACAACGATCCGTCAGAGAATTTTTCCAAGTAATGTCATCGTCTCTAACGTAGAAGTAAAATATGTTTATTCCACTTTGAGCTTCGAAATTTTTGCTTTCACAATAGAAAAAAAACCGCAACGTTCTTTTTTCTTTTTTCTAGGCCAGAGAAAAAAGAAGCCGACGAACTTCTCTCTATAATTTTTTTTCTTTGTTTGCATGATTGCACAGGAAGCAAAAAAAAGAACTACACGAGTCATACGTTGACGGTCGCAAATAGTACATTCGATTATTGCCACAAATAGAACAACTATTTACTAGATTCAGACAACAAACATATATTTAACGCTGAATAAGATTTTATATTCCTTTTAAGGAATATTCAGATGCAGAATGCATGAAGCCATTAGAATTATTGATCAGCGTATCATCGGCACAGTTGCAACGGGTGAAATTGCTCGTGATCATTCTTTGAAAATGTAAATTTTGACTCTCGTTGTTCTCTTTTCAAAGTACACAAACACAACTATTTCATCGATACAAGGACACTTGGAGAGAAAGTGTGTTCGTGACAATTTTTCAAATTAGATTATCATCATCTACAGTGACTATAGCGTTTCTCTCAAGAAAAATGTCGAGCTTCTCGTGTCTTCTTTTTCTTTTCTCTACAAAATTCTTAACATCGTCTCATATGTGAGTGTTTAATAAATGCGAACAGGAAAGAAGAAAAAAAGAGAGAGAGAGAGGGAAGTAGGTAAGCGAATAGAAGATAAAAGTTGTTACTATTACAAGACTTGTTTAACAATCCGATGTCTTGTGTGCTTGTTAGTTGTGTGACGATGTCAGTATTATCGCTTAGACTCTAACCTTGACCGGATATTGGTTACCATTGTTGATTTTCAGAGATTCTATCGAAGTCATGTGTCGTTGACGGTAACTCGCAAGTCATACAATATATTCGTATGAGTAAAGCATCGCAATCTCACTAGTCGCTTTTAATGAACAAAGAACGAAAAGAAAAAACGAACGTCGTCCAATTGGATACATATTCCTATCGATATATTTTTGTATTCAGCTCAAACAGTATACTGTTGAAGTAACGAGTTCAGTCTATATGATTATAAAATATAGGAGTGGTGCATATATCAACGTGTTGTAACTATGTGTTTGATTTAATAACGTAGATGGCCACATTCTGTGAATAGACAGACTGTGATGATGTTTTTCTTTAATCAAATGGAAAAATCTTTAACATCACCTCATCTGCAGGAAGAGGACGAATGAAATTCATACAAATAACAGATGAATAAGTCATTCAAACATTCTCACTCGATTTCAATGTCACTTGTAATTGATTGAAAATAAACAAACGATCATATTCGAATAATATATAAAATGATGAATCTTTTCCTTTCAATCCTTAGAAATCAAACACAAGAAAACGTAATTAGAAAGTGAACAAGAGAGAATATAAGCAGCAATGTATGGACGGTATATTGCAATATTTAAATGATCAAATCAAATGAAATAAGGAAAATGCACATCGTACGAGGTTTCTCAGAGTGAAGGTGTGTTGATCATGTTCAAATATCTTTCTTTGCAATGTCACTTGAAACAGATATTCTACGATTAATTAGCTGACTTATTACGTGGACTTGTATAGAAGAATCTAATTTGTCCGTTAGATTTTCTTCGCACTAATGATTGCAAACATTAATTTAATGATTTCAATTTATTTTTTAGAGTTTGATGTGTGCAAAAGTCAAGGGAAGAAATTGAGATGGCATTCTTGCTGATTATTTCAGTTTTAAATGCTTCATAATAGCTTGAAATTCAGTGGAAACCTGTTATAAACTGTTATCATACGCATTATATGACTCAAAGGTACTGCTAAGAAATATACAGTGTAGGTGTCATGTATTCCTTTATATTAATGCATCGAAAACAGTATGTATCATGAATGAATAATGTTATACCACTTTTGTTCAATAGATTTTAACACAGATGTCATTTGATCGCGATCTCTCTATACAATTCAGGAGTATCGAGTACAGTATTACTATATCACGTTCATTAACCACTAAAACTTTTTCACTTGATAATATCGATACTGTATGATGAAGTCGTGCTACATTCTTATTTATAATCATTTTCATGTGAAAAAGCACAACCTTGAAATAATCATCCAAACATGTTACCAACATGTTTAACACAAAGTAATCTTCTATCGTAGATCATTAATCATTTTTCTGGTTACAAAATAACTCTAACTCCATCTAAGTGCTAAATAGCTTAGCCAGTTCAATACCTTTACGCGCCTGTAGTTTTTACTCATATCAAAATACTTATCACATGCGTATTTAAATACGTTACAAGTTATCGAATATTATCTCAATAAATTATACTCCATTATTTTTGAATGCCTAATGGACACTGTCCTTTCTTTTATAGAAATTTATTCGCCCTATCTAATCACATATTTCCTGAAGTCACCACACATCACTTTCGATTGAGTACCTCGAGACGAATATTGTATATCGAAACCGACAACAAATGATTACATTTGCGCGAGTATTTCCATAGATGCTAACATATATGTTACCCTTCCAACAATGTTCACCAAACAACTTCGAGTGATGAAGAAAGAAATGAATCGGTATTGTATTTGATTATTACCGCTATCTGTTTTGTATGAAGTCGATAAAAGACAAATAACTATATATACATAGGTCAAAGTGTTTGTCGAAATAAACTTCTTTGCGATTCAGAATGATGGTATGCATTTGAAATCACTTTTAGGAGCAAAAAATATCTGTTTGCTATAGAATATTTCTTTTGTCAATCATTTCGCGACAGGCAGAGAATAGAAATGTAAGAAATTTGAGTTAGCTATGTCAAATACGTTTACGCCTTTGTCCATAATATCTTTTTTTTCAATGCGAAAGGAAAAATAGTTTACGGAAGTAATAACTTTTTGGATTTTTTAATGAACACTTTTTCTTTATGAAGTCTGGTGTATAAAACTCTCAACCAGCATTTCTGTTGTCTCATTTAAGAAAATGTTAGGCAACTACAGTCTAGCGAAAGAATAAGCTATAAAAATTCTTTATACTCTTCAGAAAAATAATCCTCGCCGGGTCCTCTCATGACTATTCTTGTAATGATAATTGAAACTCCCGGCAGAAGTTCATTTTCAAGCAAATCCAGTATACACTGAATAGTAACTTGTCGATTTTTGTGAGCAGTCAAACAACAAAGAACCTACGTCAATGGATGTCAGTATTTACTGAGCAATAGGGACCGTTCGATCATATGGAAATTGACTTAAGAAATTACGGTGATAAGTGTTGTAAATAGTTGTGATTTGAATGAGCAACCAGCAAGACTGGCCATTTTCATTCGATGTCCAAAATATAAAAAAGCCCGTAGAATCGTATTTTGCATGCGAGAGTGAGAGAGACAAGTGACTAGGCAAATATGAAAGAACATTTTTTTTTCAAATTTCATTATCGGAATATTCATTTTATTAACGAGTGCTCTGAATTTCTCGACTTCTTGACTACCCGGATTAAAATTTGGTTAACATTAGGCTCTTTAGAAAAACGTATTAACAATAAGAAAAAAAATGCAAATAGAAAGAGCAAGAGCAAAAGAAATTCTAGATTCAACACACTTTTAATGATCTCCATCATTCACAGGGAGCATTCTAACTGGGGTGCCACCTTCCGGTATCCTAGCTATTGAAGTTTGACGAAGTATTTTCGTTCGTAATATTTGAGCAAACTCACGGCGAAATATATCCGATGAAATCATGAAATTCGTAAATGTTAATGAAAAACCTAAGTAAATCAATAGATACGTCATATTGCTGACAAATGTTTCTGCCGCACTTTGAAGTGCTGATTTTGACATGTTGACTGTAAACGAACTGTAGATGAGATAAATTGGATTGGGCATATTCAGAATGACGAAGAGAATAATTTGATTCGCTAACATTCGATGCAATTGAACATCTTTCTTCGACATTCGTGAACTTTGTCCCACATTAGTACTGATACGCGCTTTGGTCTGCCGAACATTCCGTACAGTTAATAAGCCGAAGATCAGCATTAGAAGTATCGGAAGAACGCCGCTGTCAAATGCAATATAAATAGTAAAGAATATTGCGTAATGACCTGATCGAAACGTACATATGCCGCTTCCGATCTCATAAAACACGATGATTTGGGTATAAATTACGGACCAGAAGATGACGTTGGCAAAAATGAGTCGCAAAGCGATTTTTTGCGAACTCCATCGTCGTCGAAGTGCGATGTCCGAACTGGCAAAGTATCGGTCAATCGATGCCAAGATGATATAATAACGAGGAACAGCCACGAAAATGTAAAAAAGATAAAAACGGAGTTTACAATACCAAAGATTGCTATTAAGAGTGAGAATAGCGTATCCAAAGTGAAGCATACGAGTGAATAATGCGAAATTATATGTGAAAAATTGAGAAACACTTGCAGAGAGAAAAAACATGGCACACGGACTATTGCGATACGTTGGTTGGGTGAAAACGATACACATGAGAATTGATCCAACATTTCCAAGGATAAAAATAAAACCAAAACCGAATTGTGAGATTGCTCTGTTTAAAACATTGATAAGTGAGATAGTAGATGCATCGCTGCTACTAATAGAGCTGCTCATAGTTGTATTATTCATTGTGCAAAGTGAAGTCTAGAGAAAAACTAAATCTGTCTTTGAGGAAAAAATGACATTCATATTCACCAGCAAGTTTTCTTTCCTCTCTAACGTATGCCTCATTAGAGTTGCCTACGGTACTCACGAGACAGCTGTACCCTAAAGTAATTTTCATCCGATCATGAGATTAACCGAAGAATATCACAGAATAGAGCCTATTAAAAAGTGTCTTCGACCTTTATAAAATAACTGAAAAGGTTATTGAAAGAAGCGCATATTTAATATATGTATATGCGTTATCTTTCGAAAATAAATTTTGAAGGGTGAAGTGATTGGTGGTTTGACTTTAATTAAGATAAAAGCAGCATGAGAGTAGATGTGAACGCACATGCAGAGCTACATAGTCTATTAGTTCATGTTTCCAACTCTCCTTTGATGAGAGGCTATTTGTGTACCAGTCTAAACATTATTTTAGGTATTGTTAATTATAAAGTTATGTTTATATCACAACCATTAATAGAATCATGCTCATTTTTACTAACTAAGACAGGAGTTGTTTAGAAGATATATATATATAATGAGATTCTTTTCTTAGTAAGGAATAAGTTGTCTGAAGATTAAGAAAAACTAAGCATTGCTATGAAATTATTCTATTGATTTTCCGTAACAAAAGTCAAACTGTTCTTTTATCTAGTTTTGCTCGAAGTTCGTATATTGTTGATAGGGTGAGGGTGTTTTTATTCATTTACATACAAGTAACATTTGTCGAGGCTGACTCGCTTTGCTCTCGACTGAATTAGTAACTCAAGATACAATAATCTTCATATGGATTTGTCACAGAAAATAGATAGATACATACCCTTAAAAGTGACCTTTCCAGCAAGGTCTCCATTCATCTGAGAGTTTTAACAACTAGCATAAGGACTGTCATTGTTTTTCTTGTTTATCCAATGATCTGTATTGAAAATTACTGTTCGCATGGAGCGGCAGTTTGCTATGAATGAATATGATAAACTTCACGCCGTTAAGCATGTCTTCTTTTTCGATCAGAAAAAGGAATGATGCAGTGACATCAGAGGAAATTCGATATAAATTTCGATTACCGGAAACAGCTGATCTTCGGTTTACGATCTCCAACAGACAAACAGGTATATTGTGATAGTTTGGTAATACTCTTTTCACCTCTCACCAACCATTATCAACATTGAGCCTTAAAACGTCCTCCAAACGATGTACCTTCGAGTTTGAGGATTTTCCATAAATCTTGACTCTTGATCATGACACAAACATACAGATACACACTCAAACTATTCTTTTCATAGAATCCTTCTTTCAGTCGAGAGAATTTATATTCCTGTCCCCGTTATAAGATGAAGAAGTGATATTGCTTAGGATTTCTCTCGATTCTAATCATCGAGAATTCTTCAATTATATTGAAGACAAATAGAAAACTTGAAGAAATTTAAAGATTTTGTAATACATCACATTTTATTCGATAAACAATCATAAGAAAGATGAAAGAGACACTCCCATCGATAGTCTTATACATTGACTTGACACTATGGTATCGTTTTCCTCCGTAGCTACTTATCGTAGTAACTATAATAACACGTCTATTTGTAAATCTGCAAGCAGAAGTATGATTTCCTATGCAAAAAATCTACTTAGCTAATAGAAAATCGGTGTTCTCATAAAAATCTATGTAACAAGTTCTATCAGTCTTTTGACTTTTTTAAACTGAATATATTTGTCCGAGTTTAATTAGACTAAAAGAGTTATTTCACACTGGAACTACCGAGTCCTGCTAGACTGATGGTAAATATTCATTTCATAATCGATTTATATCTCTTTCGTATCGTTGATTTTATAGGGAAAGAATAAGTTCTATGAAAATGTTGTCTTATTTTGAAAATTTGATTTTAACTATCATATACTTCAACACGATATAATTATAATATACAATCGCTCTTTGAATGCTAAAGAATCAATGAGAAGTTTTTTTTTCATCGGAGTAAGCGAACTCGAAAACAATTGTTTACTCAATTTTTCAAGGTAAAGATCAAATAATTATTATTCGAAATCTATCTGAATCTGAATTTAAAATTCTTCACGAAAAAAATCTCCATATACAGATCATTTATTGAAATTCAACCGCAATGTCATCCAATTTGTTCAAGTCTATTCATCAATGAAATATTGATTAATCTTTGTTTAATTATAATGAGTTATTATTATTCACTTGATTTTCGTTCATCATCTTTCGATCAATTGCTGAGTTGCCACAATCATTCAACGGTCACTGAGTATGAAATTTAATTCGTACTACAAATCATATGGAATTAGTTGAAACCGCTTTACTTTACAAACTTCAACAAAGAGTCGAGTGACTGTCGAATTTGTGATAAAATCATAGGACAATCTACTATCTCGAGTATTTATTGTGATTCTCCATCAAACTTGTGCATCATTGATATCTGATTTATTTGTTTACGAAAGTTTTGGTAATTTTACATCAACAGTGTCATCAATATCAAATATAAAAGGATTTCTTGTTAGTTGTTATGTACTTCAATCATCATTCGAATGTTTATTGGATTCAAAATATCTCGATCTTATTCGAAATTTCTTTCCTTATATTAATAGTAGTCATCTAAATAAAAGATCCAATTAATACAACTGCTAATACATTCACTGAGAATTTATTTATTGAAGATTGGTCAACATCGAGTTCTTTTAGTAGACATTACAAAATCTGTTCATGTTTTTTTGCATATATCCTGGCGGATTGGTTCTTGTACTTCGTTTCTTAACATCTCGATTTGTTATTTGGTATTATAAACCTAAGACTAACCATCGAAGACAAAATACTCGTAAGTTTCAATTGTTTTTGCTAAATAATTGGTCTTGTCAATACAGAAATCGCTTTCATTGAACGTTCTATCATTCAATTTCTGATCCATTGAAGAAATTGAATTTGTTCAAAAGATACGATGTCATTATACGTGATGATTCTTATGAAATTCGGACATCAATAATCGTAATCCATATTTATGTACATCTTCTTTATATAATCATGTGAATTTCGGTAATTTTTCAAAACGATGATTTTCGAATGAGAAAAACTTTGTGTTCTTGTGCCAAAATCACAATAGAAAATTCTTGGTTCAATTTAAAACAATTGCTATTTGTTACAGAAATATTGATCAGCTGAGAATGATATGACCGAACAAGTTCAAACACGAATAACTCAATTTCAATTAAACACACAATATCTGATTTTCAACAGTTAATGTTTTTTTTTTCATCAACCCTGTTTGAGTACGATCCAAACAAATATTTGTTCGAATCGATCGATTAATATCGAAATTTTTAATGCAAATCAAACCCATATTTTGTAAAATAATGCTGGAAAAATGGGGTGATTAAATAAAATATTATCATCAATGTTCAACAATTTCATCATTTATAATATCTATATACGGTAGAGTGTGAATTATCATGGAATAATAATCGACGTTGTCGAAAAGAAATTCTTACTACTCGAATTTTTCTTTTTGTTTTTATTCTTATTGCGATTATTATTAGTAGAATATCTCGTGTAACTAACTTGATTACAATTGTTAATCCTTCTCAATCAATGTTCGATAAACTTCGATTAGATTCTCAAATATTTCCAACACTTGAATGTTCTTGTCAACAAAGAACGATTCCTAACAATTCATTTATCTCAATTGATTTTCATTTTCATCAAATCTAATTAGACAAACGAATTATTCACTTATGATGATTACCGTTGATTTGCATTACCACAATTTCGTACATTAATAAATTATGGATAAAATGTATTTAATTTGTTCTAATTTTCAACTATATCTAATCTAAATTCAATTAACTTTATAGAAAAGTATGACATCTATCTTGACCTATACAGCTAACATCAACAATATTGGATTCCATATATGCCAATAGAATTCACGAGTCTATATTGTGAAGTTAACAACTTGGAAATAGTTTCAGACATGTTTGATTATACTGGGTTTTTACCAAGTTCTCTTACAAAAAGTCAATAACATCGTTCTTTGTTATTTACTAAGAAAATCATTTAAAGAATAGTTCGAAAAATAACAATAGAATGACGGTAAGTTGTATTAAGAAAACAATAGACAACCATATTAAGTTTCGTGATAGGACGATGAAACATCGGCGACAATGGCAACAACTTCTGTTGGTTCTGATCAAGAGGACACGGATAATAAAATTCAGGCTGAATGCATGGAAACAGTCAATATTTTATCAGAACGCGATGGTTGGACCTTATTAAATGCCCCTAAGTGTTCGGAAGAGGAATTGCAACAGGAAGTTGCTCGCTATGGTTTAGAGAATGATCCCCAAACAGCTCGCTTCTGTAGGTTTATTGCTGTAGCAACAAATTTTGCTTCACTGAAATTCGTCGAACGAATTCAACGTGTACCTGAACTCATTGAGAGTATTAAGCAGCTTCTCGACGAAATTCAACGTGAAATGAACGAAATGAATGAAATGGGTACTGCATTTAAAGAATTGGTTCATCGTTCTAATTCTTTGATTCTAACTACACAGCACAATATGAGAAAGATGTTACCGGATCTAAGGAACGCCAAGGATTATATGGATATCATTGTTCAGTCCCTCGAATCCAATTCTAATTTACCTTTAAATGAACAAGATCGATCAGATATTGAAACAGCTTTGAATGGAATGTGCTTTGGTACTCGAAACTTGCTTCAGTTGTCACAAAAATCGCGCGAACAGAGCGAAAGACTGGATCAGAATATTAGAAGCCTGCAGCAAACGGTACAAAGTAAACGAGTGATTGTAGAAGGTCGTATAGATTTCGGTGAGCATTTTAAGCACATTAGTCAAGCAATAGCCGCTTTTGGTGTCTACCAGGCTACTAACGCTCTCACAACGAATAGTTGGCAGCATCTATCACGCATTCCTGGCTTGATTCAAGTTGGATGTCGCATTTATCCACCTCTTCGACCTATCCTAATTTCTGTTGTTCTTGGTGGAATCACCGTGAGTACCATCAGCATATTAGTTAAACGATTTTGGCTCAAGCACAATTATCGAGCTTTAGAAATCTTAGAAAATCTCTTCAATCATCTTATGCATCTCAACGAAGCAAATGATCATTTTACAAAGTACATGTGTGATTCAGAAGCGAATGCTAACGACGTTCTCACTAACGTTGAAACATTACAAAGACAAATTACTTCAACTAGTCCACGTATACGACGAATGAATCAAGCAGTATGTCAACGAGCTTCTACAGCTACAAATAATATGATTGACTGTATTGAAAAGATTTTGGCCATTGATATGACTGGCTGGACTTCGTCTGCTGTTCAACGTGTTGCTACGAATCAGAATAACACACTTTCAGTGCAACAATTACCTCAACTAACATATGAATGTGATTAAACGATGTATTTCTGCTTACTGATAATAAAAGAATAATCTGGAATCAAACGAAAGTCTATCAACAAATATATCTAATTATGAGCACATCAAGTTTCAGATTAGTTTTCTAGGTGTCTAGAGGGCGTAGATAGTTCACTTATAGAGAATGTACATCCTATTCCCAAATGTGCAACATTGCGGAATAGGATGACTGCTTCATTTATACCATTTACTAAACGTTACCTAGGTAGTTCAAGGAGCAATTCTAGAGTCGGATCCGATTGGAATCTTATAGGAGTCTGTTGGATTCTACAAATTCCTAGAGCATTTCATCGAGGTCCGAGAATCAGAATCGCATCGGATTCCGACGGTTTATAGGATCCTACCGGACCTAGTTAACTTGAACCGACAAAGACTAATGGTGAAATAATTTTCAGCAGATATGCAAAATAGAATGATACATAATGGAAACGAAAATAAATGGTAACTATTTCAATTCATTTTTCATTGTATATATATATATACTTATCCACAACAAGTAAGCGTTATATCCTTTATTGGATCGACAGCTAACATAAAATTCTTTCTTTTTCGAAAACAAAAAGGACTCAACCTTCCTGACTTTAATTACAACAAAATAACAGATTGTAATAATGTCATTTATCAGGATTTTTACCAGGCGAGTTTTATTGATTTTTTTTAAATATTGTCATTTGAGACTCCAGTATCATTAGAAGCAGATGGGTCTGTTAATCCATTGGAAATGACATTTTCACCCTCATGTGGTGGATCATATGAAATGTGAAATATTTCGCGTATCTCTTGAGCTGATTTGCCTTTTACGAGATTGCTTACTGCCTTACAACCCGCGCTGAGTAATAATTTAATTCCAAGATAATTGGATGCCTATTATTATAATGATAAAATTATACTTCGGCATGAATTGCAATAAAGCAAACTCACCATAATAATATCGAACAACGTCCCATATTGAACAGAAAATTGTTTCATAAAATTTGAATCCCATCCACCAATATCATCACGTCTATAAAATTATTTAAAAAAACCCAAGTATATATCGCTGTTCAGTTTTGTCAATCAAAAGCCTGAAAAATTCTTACCGTTTAGGTTCATAAATATCCTTATTTGGATCATCATCGTCATCATCATCATCACCATCAACAGCCTCTGATTGAGAATCGTTTTTATGATGGTTACAAAACTCAATAATCTAAGAATAAAGTAGAAAGAGTCGATTAGACCAAATGCATCAATACGAAGCCAGCACCACGAAACTAAGAATTTTGTAAAAAGGAATTTTCGTCGAACAGAGTCTTTTCCATGGACAGGAATTCATTCTATGCAGAGAAATTGCGTGTCGAATGATTTATAATGACGCATGTAAATGCATAGAAGACGAATAAAGATCAAAGAAAGCTTTTTTCATATCGCTTTCGCATGAATAAATATATCATCATTCAACTCAGAATTAAATGCTGCGTCAGAAAGACACATTGTTATTGACGGAAATACGTTCTCACAGAATTGTTAAATATAGTTTCGTGCTGCGAGCTAAACGGTGCTAGCTTCTCAACGATAGTAAATAACGGAAATAAACTTACGTATTTTAAAATTGAACTCTCAACATTAATCAAAGGGATGGATCCGCTAAAACCTTCTTTAATTGAATAAGAATGTAACAATTGAATTGAGAAGATGAAATACTTACCGTCAGAATAAGGTTTTAACAGTGATGATTGTTGTGCAATCTCTGCATCAATTTGAAATTCCACTCCATCCTTCGATACTACTTTTAATGCCATGTTTTCATATGAGCAACACGAAAACAAATGTGCTACTAATATTCTAAGAGCTTTTTATATTTCAAACATCAGTGGGAAAAAACCCATTCACATATTGCCGGTGGAATCATGCTGGCTTCCCACTTACTCTTTTTCTCTTTTTTCTCGGGAAATATATTTTCTTGCAGTATTTTTTTCCTTTTCTTTTTGTAAAAAACTTAAACATCACCAAATATAAGTTTATAACAAAAGCGAAGTAATAATGTGACAAGAAAATTGCGAAAACTAAAGAGAAAAAAGGAAAAAAAAGAGGAGTAGGAACCAGAATCATGTCTTGAGGAGAACAAAAAAAGTCGGCATTACCAAATAAACAAATAGAAACACGTGAATATTCTAATGCAACGATGTGAAGTGTAAGCAAAAAAAATCGCAAATAGACCACTCTTCTTTATTCGAAATATTAAATAGAAATATCTCCTAACTTTAGTGTAATAAAAAGGACATCAAGCAAGAGTTTATCTAGGATGTGATAATTTTCTTAATCAGCGTGAAGTTAGCACGTTGAAACGGTGTGTTAACTAAAACCGTTTTTACTAAACAAGTCTCGTCCATGAAAACTACACTACTCGATTCAGAATTTAATTCTGAAACGAATGGTTGTAATTTTATCCATATGACAAATTTTGGAACAATTTTTACCTACACCTGTGTTGGCTTTCTGTAGGTCGATTTATAATCCATATAGAATTTTTCGAAGCTTGTCACGTAGGATACCTTCGGGCAGGATTCGATATTTTCTTAAGCGGATTCGTTTCAGAGTAGTTTCCAATCAATCCAACACTGATTCCAAGGACAACTTGATGAGCTCTAGCGATTCCAAAAAAAAAAATTTTCAAAAATTTCTTTTTTTGCTCGCAAAGCCTCAAAAACTCTGAGAAAAAACCGACGCCGATTCGCTTTACAACCACCGATCGTGACTTTAACACTGGTTCCAGATCAAACTCCACGAGCTCTAACGGTTCCAATCATAAAACTTCTTCGCTCACCCTCACCCCCACACCCACACCCTCAAGTTCTCTATGATCAAATAAATGAAAGCACATTCATTAAATTCTGCTCTGGGCGTGTTCTCACTACTATATCTCTCACTTCGAAAATTTGTCTGACGATTTAGTTTTAGAAATCCTCGATGAGATAAACGAATCATATCGAATAAATACCGGGTTCGATTTATTCGGATTGTGGAATGGATTTCAACATTTGACAACGAAATTTGTCGAAATTATCGAGCTACTGAAGATAGCCATGGGGTTTTATTCTCAATGCCTACTTGCGTAAAATATAATCGTAAGAGTAAATAAAAAGACACTCGACCCTTCATGGTTTTCGTCAGCAAAGTAACACTAGTATCAACGTTGTTCGAGTTGGTGTCGAAAATAAACGATTTTGAAACTGATCGAAATCTTTACCGTGATTTGTGCGATGTTCGTTAAGCAACGACCAGAACATCTTCGTTTCGTTATCTACGTGTCACTTTAAATCTAAGTTTCCATATAATATCGAAAGGAACTTCTCTTATTTGTTTTACAGCTGCGTGTTATAATTCACTGGATAAATATCTTCATAAAATAACGACATCTATACGTGTTTTGCACAAAAATATTAACCACTAGATTTCTTGCTATCCTTTTTGAGTGTTCCTATAATTCAGACTTGGGTATAAATGCATTGGGTTTTTCTATAGATTGCTCGTTATATATCGATACATAGCTAGAAAAAACGCATGGCTAAATTGGGTAAAAAAAGACTACTGTCGATTGACTTCTATGGTGACTATTCTCTTGACGTACCTCGATTAAGTCATCACGCTGTGCAACGAGCACAAGAACGGAAAATTCCTGTTGCAGAACTCTTGCAATCTCGAAGCCACATAAATGCATACGTAGAGAAGATAGTGAGCAAAAACGGTCTGGTCATCACGACGTATCCACGTCAGCGTCTCCCTTCTAATGATGATTTGCCCGAAAATGCAAAACGCTTCACATTCCCAAAAAATGGTATTGCTCTCTTCATCGGTAAACAACATGTCAATATTAAGCGTACTCAAGCAGAATACAATCTGAAATCACTATATTTCGATAAATATGATACCCTGATCGCTGTCGCATCCACAAACGATTATGACTGGACATCTTTCGAAAAAATGATCGAAACTGCACGCAAACGAAAGTATAAAACACCAAAACAACTGAAAGCTGCACGAAACAGACCAAAATAAAGGAACTTATCCCCTTAAAATACCATTCCATCTTTATTCAATGTCGATATTAATTTGGTAGTCTATGTCATAAATGTGATTATAATTATATTACACACTATTATGTATGCTGTCCGTGGTTACACGCTTAAAAAATGTCATATTTTTCTAGCCAACACATAATATATAATTCTAACTCAGAGATTTCATCTCACAAGAGAAATATCCCTGCATGTTCTTACATGTTATGTTATATCGTGGTATATGACTATTTTCATTGAAATGAGAGGAATTTTCCACGAACGTTTGATAGGAATAAGGATTAACTTTTGATATTATTCGATTCGAGTGAAATAACCTTATCTATGTCATATTACTACCTCAACTATTTTACGAAAAAAAAACTGTTGTTGATTCTAGCGAATCAGAACGCATCATGTGATTTTGTCCATTTCGTGCTTTCCATTTTGAAACATGGAACAACACTTACATTCTGCTATCTTTTCAGACAATTCGAGAACAAATAAACTAAACGAGCCATATTTTTTCCGGATTAATCGTGCTTGTCAATATGTCAACACTAAACGTGCGTCCGAAGACATGTAGTTTTTTAACAATTTGTCACATTTGATAAAACATGATTCCACGGGCACGTTCAATCAACTGCACGATCAATTGGAATACTTTTCAGGCAGATTTCTGATGCACTTTTATGAGTAGTCAGGTAGAAATGGGACAGGTATTATTACGACAGAGGAAACCATCGCCACAATTATCAGCAACTCAGATCAATAATTCCAAGAGAACGAAACGGCAGAGACCATCGAGTTGGTGTAAACTAGTTGCATCAGCGTTGGTTCCATGTATATTAGGGGTCTTTACAATAGTTTTTACCTTGCAGCAACAAGAACTATCGAAACAACAACAAGAGCAAGAACGTTGGCATCAACTCGATTCTCAACAACAAACATCCTTTGATACGTACATTAATGATGTGTCCAACTATCTCGCACAAAAATCGACTNTTCTTGAAATTGAGCTATTCTACGTGAGTAAAAAAGATTCAAATGACGTGGTCAGTATCGCTGACTATTAACACTACAACCATTGGCGTTTTGCTCCACTAATAATAACTAAAATGATAGCCCTCATAAGGAGTGAAACTTTAGTTCTTATGTGTCACTAGATGTCAAAATCGAATGAAAATTGTGATGACAATGATAGGGAATGTAAACTACCAATAACACTTTTATGGTAAAGACACTGTATTGTATTTTAGACTCTCGATCATTTAATCCAAACGTTGTATGAAAAAGCGGAAAAAAGTAAAAAAAGCGGTAAAAAGTAAAAAAAAAAGCGGAAAAAAGTAAAAAAAAAGCGGAAAGTTTCCGCAAAAAGCGGAAAGAATGGCAACCCTGGTGGTGGATCATATGTAATATCAAACATTTCGCGTACCTCTTGAGCTGACTTGCCTCTTATAAGATTGGCTATTGTCTTACAACCCACGCCGAGTAGTAATTTAATTCCAAGATAATTGGATGCCTATTATTATAATGATAAAATTATACTTCGGCATGAATTGCAATAAAGCAAACTCACATTAATGATATCGAACAACGTTCCATCTTGAACAGAAAATTTTTTCATAAAATTTGAATCCCATTCATCAATATCATCAGATCTATAAAATTATTTAAAAAAACCCAAGTATATATCGCTGTTCAGTTTTGTCAATCAAAAGTCTGAAAAATTCTTACCGTTTAGGTTCATAAATATCCTTATTTGGATCATCATCGTCATCATCATTATCACCATCAACATCCTCTGGTTGAGAATCGTTTTTGTGATGGTTACAAAACTCTATAATCTAAGAATAAAGTAGAAAGAGTCGATTAGACCAAATGCATCAATACGAAGCCAGCACCACGAAACTAGGAATTTTGTAAAAAGGAATTTTCGTCGAACAGAGTCTTTTCCATGGGCAGGAATTCATTCTATGCAAAGAAATTGCGTGTCGAATGACTTATAATGACGCATGTAAATGCATAGAAGACGAATAAAGATCAAAGAAAGCTTTTTTCATATCGCTTTCGCATGAATAAATATATCGTCATTCAACTCAGAATTAAATCCTGCGTCAGAAAGACACATTGTTATTGACGGAAATACGTTCTCACAGAATTGCTAAATATAGTTTCGTGCTGCTAGCTTCTCAACGATAGCAAATATCGGAAATAAACTTACGTTTTTTAAAATTGAACTCTCGACATTAATTAAAGGGATGGATCCGCTAAAACCTTCTTTAATTGAATAAGAATGTAACAATTGAATTGAGAAGATGAAATACTTACCGTCAGAATAAGGTTTTAACAGTGATGATTGTTGTGCAATCTCTGCATCAATTTGAAATTCCACTCCATCCTTCGATAATACTTTTAATGCCATGTTTTCATATGAGCAACACGAGAAATAATGTGCTACTAATATTTTAACAGCGTTTTATATTTCAAACATCAGTGGAAAAAAAACCCATTCACATATTGCCGGTGGAATCATGCTGGCTTCCCACTTACTCTTTTTCTCTTTTTTCTCGGGAAATATACTTTCTTGCAGTATTTTTTTCCTTTTCATTTTGCGAAAAACTTAAACATCACCAAATATAAGTTTATAACAAAAGCGAAGTAATAATGTGATAAGAAAATCGCGAAAACTAAAGGAGATGAAAAAGAAAAAAAAAGAGGAGTCGGAACCAGAATCATGTCTTGAGGAGAACGAAAAAAGTCGGCATTACCAAATAAACAAATAGAATCACATAAATATTCTATAATGCAACGATGAGAAGTGTAAGCAAAAAAATCGCAAATAGACCACTCTTCTTTATTCGAAATATTAAATAGAAATATCTCCTAACTTTAGTGTAATAAAAAGGACATCAAGCAAGAGTTTAGCTAGGACGTGATAAGTTTCTTAATCAGCATGAAGCTAGCACGTAGAAACGGTGTGTTAGCTAAAAAAGTTTTTACTAAATAAGTCACGCCCATGAAAACTACACTACTCGATTTAGAATTTAATTCTGCACCGAACGATTATAATTTTATCCATATGATCAATTTTGGAACTATTTTTACCTACACCTTTGTTGGCTTTCTGTAGGTCGATTTATAATCCATATAGAACTTTTCGAAGCTTCTCACGTAGGATACCTTCGGGCAGGATTCGGCATTTTCTTAAGCGGATTCGTTTCAGAGTAGGTTCCAATCAATCCAACACTGATTCCAAGGACAACTTGATGAGCTCTATCGATTCCAAAAATAAAATTTTCAAAAATTTCTTTCTTCGCTCTCAAAACCTAAAAAAATCTGAGAAAAACCGACGCCGATTCGCTTTACAACCACCGATGGCGATTTTAACACTGGTTCTAGATCAAACTCGACGAGCTCTAACGGTTCCGTTCATAAAACTTTTTCGCTCACACTCAAACCCACCAGTTAAACTTTGCTGATGATTCGCAAAATATTTTGCTCGAACGATATATGTTCTTTTAACGGCTTTACGTACCAAACATTCTTTCGGCCAACAACCTTGCGTAAAATCTCGAGTAATCATTCCACCAATAGCAGTATTCTTATGACCGTAATAACATTCTTCACCTGAAGGTTCAATAACATGTAAATCTACGTCAGTGTCATCTGTATCCCAAACCATGGCAATTCTTACATCGACAGGTAAATGACGCGAATCAGCCGACTCCTGAGTGATAGAAATACTCCCAATTGACATTCATGTAATGTTGTCACTTCAATTTCTGAAAAATGAGTATCCCATTGATCTACAATCATTTTTTCGAATAGATCGAACGATTCGCGAGTGTCTCCTTTTGTTAAAAGTAAAGCTAAATCTCGAAATGATTGTGGTTCATTCTATGTTAAAATTGTAAGACACCGAAAGATATTTTTTGTTATAGTTGACGAAGACCAAGTTCAACGAATTTATAAGCAACTGTTCGTAATAATTGAGGTGATTCTAATTCTAATTCGAGAACATTTGTTAAAATGCGTAAACCAAAATATCTGTATTTATTTGGATCATTCACTTCTTGTGTTGAAACGTTGGATATTGAAATATTTTGATTAAATATATCAATCGAAGCTAATCTTGGTGTAAGTGACGGATTTGCTTGTGAAATAGAACGAAGAAGACTTCATAGAAGATGATCGTTTAGCTAAATATGTCTGATACACCGTTTGTGTAGATTTACCCTGTTCTATTTTAATCATGTACGGATTGTCTAGATCCCAATGTTGTACAACAATCGTTAGTTTAGTTGCACTGATATCTTCCGGATTTCGTGCTGCTTGTACAATGTGATCACTTGATTCTCTAAATACAAATGCACTTTTTTGTATCGTGTTAACCGTTTCATACATATCGGTATAGACGTCGATCGACATTCATGAATGACTGATTGGGGTCGTAGTGCTTACGGCCTTTCGATATACATGTCTTCATCTGCATATGCCGCAGTGGTAACAACGGATTCGTGTGCGTGTAGAGTGTATGTTTCTTCATAATCAATAAAAGATCGGCGTCTTAATGTTGCAGATGAAGCGAGACAGTTGTAATCATAACTAGTGGCTTGTTGTTTTTCTGATATTCTGTATCTTGTATAATCTGATCATACCATACGCAATGTTGTTACCATAGATTGAGTACAGTAGTCATTTTTGCTTGCTTTACTGCCGTTTCTTCTTGTTCATGTGCTCGTTGGTGATTTACGCAATTATTGTATAGTTTGACTTGAGATTTATGCGAACAAATATTGTGTTCAATATGTTGTTGCCATGTTTCTAAAACGAGAATCGATGTAAAATTACTAACCAGAGAATATTTTAAGTCAATCTCTATAATTCGTTTTTCATTCCGTGCGGGAAATGTGATAAATCCATGTAACATTTTTTAAGCATATAATCGACAGAGTAAACCATAGTTTCGAGCGGATGGATTCGATTTTGATTTTCAATAAAAAAATTAAGAGCGATCTTCGCCGATTTCGATGAAGAAACTTTTCCGACAAGAACAAATTGCTTTGTATTTTGTATTATTGTGATTGAATGATTTGGATATCTTTCTTGAATATTGGAGTTATCGAGAATATCTGTATTGAGATATTTTGATCGTGGACTTTCAATCCATTGAATAATTTTATTCGCACGGTTGGGAACGATTATGATTTTCTCACAAGAAATCTACCCTCCGCCGCTAAGATTGATCAGATAAAAATTAGTTTTGTAGTAAAACTGCTTAGCGTGGATGGTACATCATTTCCAATGGTTGACTGGCAATCACTGAATAGAAAATAGTGTGTGACGTTAGGTGCAATCGTAGAAATTTCGACTAATTCGAATAGATTTGTAGCACCATCGTAAGATAACCAGTTTAACTACACCGCATTATGGACTGCTGCCAAATTTGGAACATTACCTCTAACATTCGTATCTCAGAATTACATTTATTAATATTAGCTCGATTGAAACTGCATCTCATAGGATACATAATGATACTGTTCGAATTCTTCTTAACGTATTCGAATGATTTCGAATAACGTGATGTTTTATAATGCGTATCGAAGACTTTGCTCATCATTCAATGGTTTTACATTGTTTAGATGAAGTTCAAAGCAATATTAATCGTTTGATTGATGAAATTGTTGTTGAAAATTTGTACGAGATAGAATTTTTGGTTTAGTATTGTTCTTTGTTTGTGTACAAATTAATGAAATGTCTAAACTGTCTAGATTTGTGGTAAAATGAATTGGAATATTCAAAATAAAATGTCCATCTTCTATTTGTGCTTGATCTTGATAAATAACACGTATAATCCTCGTTCTACCCGCTTCAATTGGACATATTCGTGTACGAAATATGTTTCCAGTAACCATTTTTACTAAACCTGGATCGACACCTTTTCGAACTTCTTTTTCAAATGTTACACGCGCCTTTTCCTTTTCAACATCAAGACCGTAAGTATAAGCAAAAACAATGGGAACGATTTCTATGCTAATCTTGCACGAGAGTTCGACGGAATCGAATTTTTTCACGACAAATCTGTTTCCGTCGTGTTTCACTCTTTGAATGGCTCTGAAAGTTATTGTCCTATACTGACCAAATCCGCAGATTCTTGCTGTATCTGGTAACGTAAATTCTAGAACACCTTCTAATCCCGTATGATAATCATTTTTAAAAGTCATTGTTGTAGCTGTTTTATGAATTAGTGGAAAACTTGCATTCACTTGCTGTTCTACTTTTAAATTAATCTTAGTCAATGATGTTGAAGCAGCATCACCACCAAACTTTTTTTTCTGACCAAAATACATTGGAAAGGATGTTCGCGACATTTTTTTTTCTGATTTGGACGTATAGTTAGAAGTGATTCTAAAACGGATACGCCCAAACGAAACGATAGATTCTACGTGTTGACGCTCTTATCTCAACGACTATTCAAATAGTGCAACCAAATAATGCAACGCGGGATATGTTTTTAGCTATTTGAAAAGAAAGGAAGTACAGTTGTTTTGATAAATAAACTTATCTAGGCTATACTTAGAGTGCACGTAAACTTATAAAGCTCGTCACAGATTTGTTGATACAAGAGTGCGAAAAAAGAAGGGTTGTGAAAATGTAGGCGATGATTAGAGTGTATTGACCAACGACAAAGAACACTCATCCTCAAGATGCTCTAATCACACCGCCTAGACGGCAAACTAAAACTAGGATTTCTCATAATATCGAAATGTGAAAATGTAAACTATTTTGTTGCTCATAACATAGCGACATCTATATATACATGAAGAACGAAATACGACTGATAGTTATTCTTTTCCATTACTCATTTCTATCACGCGACGCTGGATTGTCCAGTTCTCCCACAGTTAGATAAAGTTCTTATTTCAATACGTACACATGGCTAAATTGATAAAAAATAAAGTGATGTCGTTCAACGACTCGTACTATGGTGACTTCTCTCTTGACGTACCTCGATTAAGTCGCCACGCCGTACAACGAGCACAAGAACGGAAGATTCCTGTTGCAGAACTCTTGCAATCTCGAAGCCACATAAATGCATACGTAGAGAAGGTAGTGAACAAAAACGGTGTGGTCATCACAGCGTATCCACGTCAGCGTCTCCCTCCTAATGATGATTTGCCCGAAAATGCAAAACGCTTCACATTCCCAAAAAATGGTATTGCTCTCTTCATCGGTAAACAACATGTCAATATCAAGCGTACTCAAGCAGAATACAATCTAAAATCACTATATTTCGATAAATATGATACCCTGATCGCTGTCGCATTCACAAACGATTATGACTGGGCACCTTTCGAAAAAATGATCGAAACTGCACGCAAACGAAAATACAAATCACCAGAGCAGATTCGTGCAAAGCAAAATGAGAAGAATTAAACTATAAACCGTGCATTTATGTTTCTACGTATATATGACTGCCCTAACGATTACGAATTGTACTCTGCTGCCCTTAACTTTCTTTTTTCGCCATGGATATTGAAGTTGGTGATGACGAGCGAAAAATTTCAATCAGTTCTCAGTAGGCATAGTTTTGTTCTTTCTCCATTTTCTAGCGTACTATGATTCGACGAATTCTAAACGTAATACAGTAGTTACTTCGACGGAACTTTCTATCAATTACCTTTACGAATATACTCTGGAAAACTCGCGAATGCCTTAGACTCATCTGTTTTAGAGCAATCCAAAGCTCGTATTATTTTTCTTCCTGTTTACTAACTCTATCAGATGAGTAGTAAACAATCAGTGCTCCCCCATTGAAATATCACTTCGTCCTGACACAAGTGCCTAGGATGAGAAAAGTATTGTTTTACTTAAGCTAGAAAATAAGAATCTTCTCAGCCATGTTTTGCGCATTCTTTGCTATCCTTTTGAAATAAATATGCAAAAACAAAAGCCGGCTAAGCGATAGATATACAGTATTTTTAATGAAAAATAAGGTTTGTCACCAATGCGATTTGACAAAAAATAATAATTCGTGTCACATAGGGAAAAACTTATCATAGTTTATGTTCTACATTTGCAGCTCATCGTTCGTGATCATTGTTTTGATTTTTTCTGGGTGAACTGTTTGATGGCCATCATGATGTTTCATAATCAACTCTACCAATGGAATTACGATCAGTTTGAAAAGTAAAACGATAAGTTCAAAGATTTCCAGACAGACGGTGGTAAAAAGCAGGTTGTGAAAAATAATTTCGGACTCAGTTTCGTTAATTATCTTGAGGATGGGCTCGATATTTTCCGATTCAGGCAAGAAGGCCGTACTAATTTTGGTGACTTGAAGATTAATATTGACAATTTGGGTAACTGTGCGATCATCAATAGTGAATATTTGGCGAAAATTCAGTTCTTTTAAATTATGATGTGTCATCCCATCTGCACTTCCTGTTAGACTGATTCGAACAGCTCGGATCAGTTGAATATCATTAATCACTACTTGTAGAGTCATATTTTGATAAAGTAGTGCTATCGTGGTTGATAGAGTTCCATTGATGGTATCCATACATAAAGTGGAGGATAATATTGAAACGTAAATCGTTCCGCCAAGGTACTGATTGATGGTGGAATAGACAGAGGCAAAAGATTTGTATCAAACTTTGCATTACGAATACTGGTGTCACAGGCAAATGATGATAATGTCTCTGTTTCAACAGGATATTGGTTTAAATAGCCATTACTGAATGTAAACGCAAATGACACGAGTACAACAATAGCGATTAACATCAGGGCACTTGTTGCTGTACCATGCAATTTACTGGTATCTGTCGATGCATAATAACCTGGTGGAATTGCTAACAGAAAAAGAATACCATCGGATCCGTCGAGAATAGCAAGAGAAGTCAGAGTCGAAATAATATTGGTTATTAATGGACTAATTGTTGTTCCCAATGGTTGTTGCATATTAGGAATCATGACTGTAACTGTTGATCCAAGACTCGTCGAATTCGCACTGTTATAGAGATATACTTGAGATGAAAATCATGTACTATAATCCGTATGAATATGCACTATTCAGTACAGCTGCCTGGTTTAATGCTAACCATATTATGCCTCTGTCAAAGCCACTTAAAGTTAATCGTGTACCACTATTATCAACAACAAAGAAAAGGAGAGTGTTCGTTGATGTATAAGACCACAAGTATCGAGAACAGTAAAGCTGTTTGACATTAAGTAAACAACAGGTTTGGAACGAATCGGTGAGTTTAGACCTTGATCAACAAAATCAGCTACGATCATGAAATAATTAACATCAGTGGCAGCAGCGCGTGGCATAAAGATAACGTTATTGACCAAACAGAACTACTAGCAATAGTAGTAATAATATCATGAGAATTATTGGCAAATGGGCAATAGATAAAGGCAACATTAGTGGTAAAGACAATTGCAAGTTGCCCAAAAGGGTCAACACTGAGTACCATATGACTTCTGGTGAAAATACGTTGAAATAATTTTCAATTGCTCGATTTAGAAATAATCACATGAAATTGGTTGACTCGTATTAGCATATTGCGGTGGAGTTATCGAATCGTTATTGCGCCAAACAGCAATAAACGTTCCATTATTATCTGATCGATCATTTGTTGGTAAGACTTCACCAATGATAAAGAAATATATTGATGTTTGTTTGCTATTCTGCTGAGCGCCGATGCCTACAGAATAAACATAATGTTGTAGATCATCATAAGCAATTGAACATTACAATGAAGTCATAGTATAGTTACACGGAGCAAATTGAATGAGAAGTGTTTTGGAATCACGTCTTACTTCAATCATCATTGCGTCATTTGTTGCTAATTTAATTTCATAGACATCGTAACATTTTGTATCAGGAGCGAAATCAGCCGTCGATTCAATAACGAGTAATGCAAGAATGAGTGCTTAATACGTGCTAAAATACGGCATCCTTTACTTTCACCAGTTCGTCAATGATAAATTCAGAGAAACGTGCAGGATTTTATAAGCACTTGTGAACTTTATGCACTTTTCATTTCCGATCGTTCGGAAGCACATTCTCTGCTGATTTCCGTTCTCATATATTACATATTCATTTTAAAAATTACAAAGTTTGGTGCAGACGTCAACTATCAGTCATTGATCATTTGCACATTATTATTTGTCACTCATACAAAGCTACGCAGAAAGCTCTTTCTCCAGACACCTGTTTAACTCTGTTTTTATTTTAATACCCATTATATGTAAAAACCATATGGAACACCATGAATCATATCACAGATGTTTTATTATAGGGAAGATCAGATTGAGAATAAGATGCACAGATAATTTTGTCATAGGACGAGTTTGACAACTCGACGACAAACTCAGAGCCCAGGATAGAGAATATCTAACCACAGATCCAATTAAAGTAGTAAAAGAACCAATAGTGACGAATAAATGAGAAACGAAAGACGATGGATGATGCATATGTTGGCACAGTTATAAACGCCTTAAATCTTCATATGAGAATATTAGTGAAGGAAACTACAAGAACCGGAAGAAGCCATAGGATTAAGAACATGTGTGATGGTGGCGCTGGTATATCAGCAAAAAGATTCCTTTGATCGAGTCTGCGGTCGACACAGCTGTTTAAATTGCTGCTCATGTTCACATATTTTATTATAGGTTCTTATCTTTTTGAGCCTGTTGAGTTACGCTTATGTATAATTTTGTGTTTCAAAGTTCTCTATGATCAAATAAATGAAAGCACATTCATGAAATGCTGCTATTTCATTTACTGGGCTTGTTCTCACTACTCTATCTCTCACTTCGAAAATTTGTCTGACGATTTAGTTTCAGAAATCCTCAATGAGATAGATGAATCATATCGAATAAATACCGAGTTCGATTTATTCGGATTGTGGAATGTATTTCAACATTTGACAATGAAATTTGTCGAAATTATCTAGGTACTGAAGATAGCCATGGGGTTTTATTCCCAATCCCCACTTGCGTAAAATATGATCGTAAGAGTAAATAAAAAGACACTCAACTCTTCATGATTTTCGTCAGCAAAGTAACACTAGTATCAACGTTGTTCGAGTTGGTGCCAAAAATGAGCGATTTTGAAACTGATCGAAATCTTTGCCGTGATTTGTGCGATCTTCGTTAAGCAACGACCAGAACGCCTTCGTTTCGTTATCTACGTGTCACTTCAAATCAAAGTTTCCATATAATATCGAAAGGAACTTCTCTTATTTGTATTACAGCTGCATGTTATATTTCACTGAATTAATATCTTCATAAAATAACGACATCTATACGTGTTTTCCACAAAAATATTAACCACTAGATTTCTTGCTATCCTTTTTGAGTGTTCCTATAATTCAGACTTGGGTAAATGCATTGGGTTTTTCTATAGATTGCTCGTTATATATCGATACATAGCTAGCAAAGACGCATGGCTAAATTGGGTAAAAAACGACTACTGTCGATTGACTTCTATGGTGACTTCTCTCTTGACGTACCTCGATTAAGTCATCACGCCGTACAACGAGCACAAGAACGGAAAATTCCTGTTGCAGAACTCTTGCAATCTCGAAGCCACATAAATGCATACGTAGAGAAGGTAGTGAGCAAAAACGGTGTGGTCATCACAGCGTATCCACGTCAGCGTCTCCCTCCTAATGATGGTTTGCCCGAAAATGCAAAACGCTTCACATTCCCGAAAAATGGTATTGCTCTCTTCATCGGTAAACAACATGTCAATATCAAGCGTACTCAAGCAGAATACAATCTAAAATCTCTATATTTCGATAAATATGATACCCTTATCGCAGTCGCATCCACAAACGATTATGACTGGACACCTTTCGAAAAAATGATCGAAACTGCACGCAAGCGAAAGTATAAAACACCCGAACAAATCAAAGCTGCACGAAACAGACCAAAATAAAAGAACTTATCCCCTCACTCATCATTCCATCTTTATTCAATGTCGATATTAATGTAGAAGTCTATGTTGTAAATGTGATTCTAATAGACTACACATTATTGTGTATATTGTCCGTAGTACACGCTTAAAAATGTGGTATTTTTTTAACTCACACATGGATGATAATATATAATTCTAACTCAGAGATTTCATCTCACAAGAGAAATATCCATGCATGTTCTTACATGTTATGTTATATCGTCGTATATGAATGTTTTCATTGAAATGAGAGGAAATTTCCACGAACGTTTGATAGGAATAAGGATTAACTTTTAATATTATTCGATTCGAGTGAAATAACCATGTCTATGTCACATTACTACCTCAACTATTTTATGCAAAAAAAACTGTTGTTTATTCTATCGAATCAGAATGCATCATGTGATTTTGTCCATTTCGTGCTTTCCATTTTGAAATATGGAACAACACTTACATTCTGCTATCTCTTCAGACAATTCGAGAACAAATCAACTAAACGAGCCATATTTTTTCCGGATTAATCGTGCTTGTCAATATGTCAACACTAAACGTGCGTCCGAAGACATGTAGTTTTTTAACAATTTGTCACATTTGATGAAACATGATTCCACGGGCACGATCAATTTGAATACTTTTCAGGCAGGTTTCTGATGCACTTTTATGAGTAGTCAGGTAGAAATGGGACAGATATTATTACGACAGAGGAAATCATCGCCACAGTTATCAGCCAATCAGATCAATAATTCCGAGAGAATGAAACGGCAGAGACCATCAAGTTGGTGTAAACTAGTTGTATCAGCGTTGGTTCCATGTATATTAGGGATCTTTACAATAGTTTTTACCTTGCAACAACAAGAACTGTCGAAACAACAGCAAGAGCAAGAACGTTGGCATCAACTCGATTCTCAACAACAAACATCCTTTGATACGTACATTAATGATGTGTCCAACTATCTCGCACAAAAGTCGACTATGCGTGCAGCTATCGACAAAACCTCTCTGCTATACATCCGAACAAAAACACTAACTGCTCTGCGAATTCTCGATGCTGAACGGAAAAAATATGTTCTCCTCTTTTTATATGAAAGTGGTCTTATCCGTGATTTTTATCTTGACTTGCGTGGAGCTGATTTGAGCAATGTTCGCTTAATTGGACCACACAGATTGGACAATCTTTACCTACCCGATGTCTTCTTGTCGAATGCAATGTTTGTCGATTGTCATCTGACTAATGCTACTTTCGATCGATCGACTATGAACAACACACAATTCATTCGATCGAAGTTAAATTCGGCTTCCTTCGCTGAAGCTGTCTTGAACTATACGAATTTTAAAGGAAGCGAAATCATACAGGCGAACTTTACTGGAGCACATCTCGTTGGTGCAAATTTTCTCGATGCAGAAGTCGTTCAAGGAAATATATTTATAAATACTGATCTATTCGAAGCCCGTTTCACCAAAGCACAATTTCAAGGACAACGAATCACCACAGTACCACATCGATTCGATCATGCACGTTTGCCTAATGGCACTTTTGGACCAATTAATGCGAATAAAAGTCTCATTCGGAATGGCGACGCCGAATGGAATGTATACGAACTTATAGTAATTAACCGACATTAGAATTTATTCTCGTTTTTTGCTTTGTTTAGTGTTTAACAGAGACACCGAGAGCTTGGAGAACGATTTATTCCAACACTACACTGTACACTCGTGATGTACGAAATATTTCCATTGTCAACATGACATTTGGCGATTTCAGACGAGGAAAATGCTCATTTGCAATCAAGCCAAGAGCTCGGTTTCTTCAATATATCGATCTACGTCTGTATTCACTTCTCATTGACAGTGGCCTGGCAGTATTTACTGCGTCAGCTCTCATGGGTTGTGATATTCCTGGCAATCATGCATACCTATCTGTACTTATGCTCAGCTCCGATGGATTGGCACAAGGGATCCGATTATATTTAAGTAATGCTCGAATAACATACCTAGTTTTTATTCACTACACTTTGTTTCTGATTTTCTCAGGCTCACACGGAATCAAACTAGACGATAAATTCGTCATGCAACCATATCGAATAACCGCAAACCGAATGATGAAAAACACACGTCAGGTTGCTATTACTTTTGGTGTTGAAACATTGCCTTCACCAGGTAGTTGGTGTTATTTTGACAATATGACACTCGGCGTTCGACAAACAATCTGAACATTTCAATCATTTACATTATCTATGGTGCACTGTCGTTCACTCAATAACAATCACTCTTGACTTATTCATTATCTTTTTTTTTGAAATATCTCAAGGACGTTTTTCCATACTTTGTAGACATATGTATGTTACTTAATCGATTAGGTTGTGTAACAATGCAATAGGTGTGGGTGGAGTGAAAAATTTTCATGACTGGAACCTACACTGGAACGAATCGGCTCAGGAAAATGTCGAATCCTGTCCGAAGGTATCCTATGTAATTTTTCTTGGATATGGGAATGGAACATTTCAGAAACGATTGACTTCTCTTCAGTGGTGGTCGTCATATGCCACAAGCCTTCGCTATGGGCGATTCCAATATGGGCAATCAGACAGATGTTGTAATTTCTTATAGTGACAGAAACTATGTTATCGTAATGTTTAGTTACGGTAATGGAACTTTAGGTAGAACTAAGAAGATTGACATAGAAGACGAACCAAATTATAGAGTGTTTGTCGCAGATCTCAATAACGATAGTTTTCATATGCATTGGCTTTGAACAAACATCTAGAAACATAATAGTATTAGTAGGAGATGGCCATGAAAATTTTCAAGTAGGATTACTAACAGACATGGTTGAATTAGTATTGGTGATTTTAACAATGATGGTCTTGATGATGCAATCTATGTACACGAACCTACCGGGTTTTACGATATCTTTTTTAATGAATGCGTTTGACCTTTTCTGAACATTCTTGAGCTGATCTTTGCGCTTTTGTTGCGTATTTCATATATTACTCAATTGCTTGAGCCAGTATGAAAATAGATGGTGGATTCTTTGAAGCCCGGTGATACTTCAAGTTTTCAGCAGCATGTTGATACTAATTGCACTCTGAATTAAGTCTACATTTATACAAATCTGTTCCATTAGAAATATTTGAAGCATCATTGAGAGGAGTTTTTTCATTTGGAGAATTCTTCTACATTAAAAAAAAGCTAAATGAAAATTATCATGTCTCACGTTTAGAATATGAGTATATGAAAGGTTGCATCTCTGTATGCACTAAGCTACGTAGTAGCTACTAAGAAAAAGTCCAGTCAGTTGATGGGCTTTAGAGCTTAACGAATTTCAAAACTTGAGCTTCGTTGTCGTCAGCAGTTTATATGTTAGGCCTGGAATCTTACTTCACATCACATGACGCAATTATCGTCATTCTATTAGTTGTGGGCGAATTTAATAGCATGATATCATACGATTACGTGTTTCCCCTCGATTTCATCTTCTAGGAAAGAGAGAAGAGGAGAACGGTAACAAAATTATATTCAAATATGCATAATGTGCACTTTGTGTAGTACTTAAGCGTTATATGCTGGCTTCTTGAAAAATATTTGTGAATTCTGTCTGGAAGTATATCAATGTGCGCAAAATCAAGTAGTCGAAATCAATTTAAATGTATGTTTAAAATATCATATAAGTGTAAGTTACAATTCAGTAGTACCGAGTTGCATTAATATCAAGGGGGGGAAAGGTGATTTCTAGACGAGAAATCAACTGGATATCTTACATATCACTATAAACCATTGCGAATCGTAAGAAATTATTGGAAATCGAGAGAAGTCACCAGAAATCAAGAAATCACTTTGTTCTCCTTGAATTTGTTGTAGAAGTGTGTAATCAAATCAAATGCAACATATCGCTATCTGACATTCAGTCGCATCAATCATTTAATTGCTTCCAAACAACTGTGATGTGATTCTACAGACCGTAGAAAATCACTATGAAAACACACGATGTCTCAACTTAATCGGAAATCAAATCGCAGCGATCGCTTCTCTCGTCGCCCATCGTCATTACGTACTGGTTTTACAATTATTTTGTATAACGGATCTAATTTAGAATCAAACGAAAGCGACAAGATAAATAATTGCATACGTGCTCTTGATAATTGTTATATTTTCCACTGTACAAACAACTCGAAATGCATTAAATATCTGAAACGGGCACAGCGACATGAATACATAGTTATCGTTTTCAATGGCAGCATTGGCTTGATCAGTCCTACTCAAATCGCTGAACTATGTCAATATAAACAAATACAACATATTTTCATTATATCCCGAATGAATGAGCAAAATGCTAGCACCGACACTGATCTTTCAGTCTACACACGAGATGAAGTCAATATAATTGCTGGAGTATTTCGCGATTGCGAGTCGTTAGGAGCTCGATTGCAACAGCTGATTAGCGAAGTGAACGAATCTGATGATGATTTATTTACGTTTGTTAATCAATCTGAAAAGGCATTGAGAAATCTTCGAGATGAACTCGGTCCGTACATATGGAGTCAAACATACAGAGGTTAGTCTTTGTTTCTACGAAAAGATCTCGTACTATACATTTTCTCTCCTAGTTATTCTGAGTGCCATGCCATATAGCTCACAGGATGCAAAACGAGATATGTTGATTGAATGCCGAGCCTGCTGTTATCTCAGTAAACATGATTTGAAAACGATTGATGAATTTAGACGTACGTATACTGCAACAAATGCCATTTATTGGTATACAAAATCATGCTTTCTGTATCGTATAATCAACCGAGCTCTACGTACAGAAGATAATCTGGTGTTATACAAATTTCGCTTCTTCATTATTGACTTATGCACACGTCTGGAAGAAAAAGCTCTGACAAAAGTCGACTGTACACAGCCACTTTCTGTCTATCGAGGATCAAAACTCCGACGAGATGAAGTCGAGAAACTGGAAGTTGGATCATTAGTGGCAACGAACAGTTTTTTCTCGTCATCAAAACATTTATCAACTGCGCAGAACTTTATTGGTATAATTTCGAACGTGGACACATCGCCGAGTCGTGGTCGTCATGACCGATATCAATATGTTTTGTTTAAAATCGATATTGATTTGCACAACTCGCCAGATATTGTGGTTGCTGATGTGTCCAATGAAAGTGCTGTGCCGGACGAGAATGAGATGCTTTTCAATTTGGGTACTACTTTTGTTATTGGTGATATTCGTTACGATGAGATGCAACGAGTTTGGAATATTCGAATGACGTCCTCTTCTGAAGCGGCTAAACTTATGCAAGAGTATAGGCAACATGTTCAAAGTCGTTTCGTCGAAACCAAGCCAGCGATTCTGTTTGGACATTTTACATCTGAAATATCGAGCAACTATCATGGAGCGTTGAACTATTTCCATCGTCTATTGCGTTCGACGTCATGGAATGATGAAGATCGACCAGACATCTATTACTGTCTCGGTCGCGTTTATCGTGCAATGGGGAAACATGAACAAGCTATAACATATCTTCGCGCTGCTCTTCTGTTACAACGTCGTCTATTACCAGACGCAGGTATGGTTTATGGTCGCATGTTATCTTGTTTAGGAAGTGTCTTCTGTGAAACCGGAGATTCTCTACGAGCAAAACGCTTATATGAACAAGCGATGCTTATCTACCAAGGTATCCTACCCAAAAACCACTATGAATTTGGCTTTCATTTGAACAGACTTGCAAATGTATATTGGCAGCTTGGTCAATATGAACTTACATCGAATTTACTGAAGAGTACTTTACTATTTGTGGAAAATACAATGCCGGAAAAGTCATCAGCTCATGCACAGACATTGCATATTATGGGACTTGCGCAACGTTCGTTGAACAATCGAAAAGAAGCGATTCATTATTTCCAAGAATCGATAAAAGTGCGCGAGTCTTCACAAGCTAATGATCATCCATATGTCGCTCGAACATGTTACGAATTGAGTGAATTGTACGCTGAAGAAAATAACTATTCAATGGCTCTCGAATACGCGCACAAATCGCTACATATTCGAGAGTTAAAACTGCCACAAAATCATCCACAGCGGCAACAGTCCATCGATCTTGTTGAACGCTTGAATCATTTGTATCACGAAGCTGAATGTTAGTAAAAACCACTATTAACTCCTTTGACACTGATTTAGAATACTGAATCGATCATTTTTGTTTTTCGATCTTAGCGAACAAGGTAATAGTTCGCAGTACTGACTTTTGTCAGTATAAGATGGATCATGAATTCATGTGAAACATTATCTTAAGCTACATGAATATCTTTTACTACTTCGACAAACTGGACTGATGAAGCATACGAGCAATCTGAACTAAACCATTGTTTCATACAGTAGATAGTCATCGAACGGATGGGTGCCATTGATTATGGAATACATAGTCCACGCAGTCAAAGAATTTTAATGAGATCAGAAAGCAGATCGCGAACAAATTAATCCTGTGTTGTCGAAAGTTCAGTTTATATAGAACTTTTCCCAGATCGAAACTGGATTATAGCCTATTGGGGAAGCGTACGATAAACTTCATGCTACGCGGTGGAGATTTTGTACAGCGGCCGTCAAATATTGAAATAAGCACAAAATTAATGCGACAGGCGATTTCGCATCTATAGATTGAGAGGCCAAATAGAGAAAAAGGAAGTGTGCGCGTTTGTGTATGTTTACATCATAATACATATATACCTAAATTGTTGCTTCTGCATCAATACTCGATTAGTTTTTGATATTTGCGATGACAAGTGCTACTGATCATTCGTCTGAAACTATTGAAGAGAAATTAGCAACGCGAATACGGCAGTGCGGATGTCAAAATGTCACTCTCAAAGATATTTTACAAGTGGTGTTTGTGACTTTCATACCAATAATTATAAGTGCTTTAACTGTTATTTCCATGGAGAATACAACGCATATCTATCAAGCCAATCGAGAAAACGATTTGGATATCGCTCGACAACGAGCATTCGAAGTGGGTAACGAAACTACTTTCACTGAGTTTGTCATGAATATTGCCGATGTTCTTCTAAAAGCCTCGTCTCAATCGATATCAAAGCTTCACTATGGAATCATACGTGGATTGATTGCAGCTGTTTTCCAGAGAAAGAAACGCGCCATACAATACTTGCACGGTTTAAGAATTTTGCGACGTGGCTCAGGACCATTCGTTGTCTCCGTTTTACAGCTACAAAACACAGATTTCACTCGAGCATCTGTTCGTAATATACAACGCTGCGTGGAACAACTCTTTTTCGTTCATCAATAACTGGCGATCAGATCGCTCAAGCGTTAATCATGTACAATACGAATTATCCGAACGGGATATATGCTCGAGAAAAAATATATGTTGTCAACGGTGATGCTCAATAAGGAGCAGTCGGATGGAATGTTACACGTGGAAACATTGATGTAGTATCTTCCTCTTTTACAACTAATCAGGATGCGTCTATGGTACAATTTATTGATCTGGCGGAAATACTGAACGCTGATTTGCCTGATGATATTTATTATTGTGTTTCTTTTCGATACAGTCGTTTATAGATTCAACCAGAGAATATCCTCCTACAACTTTGATCGAAAGTTAAAAAGGAACTGGCTTCGTGTTTTCTTTTTCTTCTTCAATACATCTTTAGCCAATTCATATATCTGCTACAATCAACTAGATTAGACTGAAATAAGTCTGTAGTTTCAACAGCAACGTCGCAATTCACTCGCCAGTTGAACATTGGAATGCATTTACCAGTCAAGGGAACCTGAAGATGTGCTTACTGTAGCACAAACAAAATACAAATCAGATCAACCATCGAATGTTCTAATTGCAAGCTAGCCTTTTGTGTAGCAGATGAGAAAAACTGTTTCTACGAATACCATAAACATTTCATGTAGAGATTTTGGGGTAAGTTTAATAAACTTACAAAAAGAAGAGATTTCTAACAGAAAAAGTCAGTCCTGAAAGGGCTAAACTATAAAATAATGTACTGTTTTGCAAATCATGACAATATTGAAGCTTGACTTCTATTATAATATTCATTAAAAAATGTAATATTCTTTGTAAAACTCTTCATTTAGCTTGATAGAGTCATATAATATACATTTACATCTTCGTACTCTTTTACTTTTATGGAAATAAATGTTTAGGCATGATAAACAATTTTCTCAAGCATTAAATATACACTTCACTTTATCTTTNATGGCGACGCCGAATGGAATGTATACGAACTTATAGTATTAACCGACATTAGAATTTATTCTCGTTTTTTGCTTTGTTTAGTGTTCAACAGAGACACCGAGAGGTTGGAGAACGATTTATTCCGACACTACACTGTACACTCGTGATGTACGAAATATTTCCATTGTCAACATGACATTTGGCGATTTCAGACGAGGAAAATGCTCATTTGCAATCAAGCCAAGAGCTCGTTTTCTTCAAAATATCGATCTACGTCTGTATTCAGTTCTCATTGACACTGGCCTGGCTGTATTTACTGCGTCAGCTCTCATGGGTTGTGATATTCCTGGCAATCATGCATACCTCTCTGTACTTATGCTCCGCTCTGATGGATTGGGACAAGGAAACCGATCATATTTAAGTAATGCTCGAATAACATACCTAGTTTTTGTTCACTACACTTTGTTTCTAATTTTCTCAGGCTCAGACGGAATCAAACTAGACGATAAATTCGTGATGCAACCATATCGAATAATCGCAAAACGCATGATGAAAAACACACGTCAGATTGCTATTACTTTTGGTGTTGAAACATTGCCTTCACCAGGCAGTTGGTGTTATTTTGACAATATGACACTCGGCGTTCGACAATCAATCTGAACATTTCAATCATTCACATTGTCTATGATGCACTGTCGTTCACTCAATAACAATCACTCTTGACTTATTCATTATCTTTTTTTTTAAATACCGCATGGACGTTTTTCCATACTTTGTAGGCATATGTATGTTACTTAATCGATCAGATTGTGTAACAATGCAATGGGTGTGGGTGGAGTGAAAAATTTTCATGATTGGAACCTACGCTGGAACGAATCGGCTCAGGAAAATGTCGAATCCTGTCCGAAGGTATCCTATGTCATTTTTCTTGGATATCGGAATGGAACATTTAAAAAACAACAGACTTCTCTTCAGTGGTGGTCATCATATGCCGCAAGCTTTCTCTGTGGGTGATTTCAATATAGACAATCTGACAGATGTTATAATTTCTTATAGTGACAGAAACTATGTTATCGTAATGTTTAGTTACGGTAATGGAACTTTAGGTAGAAGTAAGAAGATTGACATAGAAGATGAACCAAATTATAAAGTGTTTGTCGCAGATTTCAATAACGATAGTTTCCTAGACATTGGCTTTGGACGCACGTCTCGAGAAATAGTAGTATTAGTAAGAGACGACCATGGACATTTTCAAGTAGAATTACTAACCGACATGGTTGGATTAGTATTGGTGATTTTAATAATGATGATCTTGATGATGTAATCTACGTACACGAACCTACCGGGTTTTACGATATCTTTTTTAATGAATGCGTATGAACTTTTCTGAATGTTCATGAGTTGATCTTTGTGCTTTTGTTGCGTATTTCATATATTACTCAATTGCTTGAGCCAGTATGGAAAGAGATGGTGGATTCTTTGAAGCCCGGTGATATTTCAAGTTTTCAGCAGCATGTTGATACTGATTGCACTCTGAATTAAGTCTATATTTACACAAATCTGTTTCATTAGAAACATTTGAAGCATTATTAAGGGGAATTTTTTCATTTGGAGAATTCTTCTGCATTGAAAAGAAATATAAATGAAAATTATAATGTCTCACGTTTAGAATATGAGTATATGAAAGGTTGCATCTTTGCATGCACTAAGCTACGTAGTAGCTACTGAGAAAAAAAGTCCAGTCAGTTGATGGGCTTTAGAGCTTAGCGAATTTCAAAACTTGAGCTTCGTTGTCGTTAGCAGTTTATATGTTAGGACTGGAATCTTATTTCACATCACATGGCGCAATTATCGTCATTCTATTAGTTGTGCGTGAATTTAATAGCATGATATCATACAATTACATGTTTCACCTCGATTTCATCTTCTACGAAAGAGAAAAGAGGAGAACAGTAACAAAATTATATTCAAATATGAATAATGTGCACTTCCTGTAGTACTTAAGCGTTATATGCCGGCTTCTTGAAAAATATTTGTGAAGCCTGTTTGTAAAATTTGTCTGGAAGTATATCAATGTGCGCAAAAACAAGTAGTCGAAATCAGTTTAAATGTATGTTTAAATGTCATATAAGTGTAAGTTACAATTCAGTAGTACGGAGTTGCATTAATATCAAGGGAGGAAGGTGATTTCTAGACGAGAAATCATTCTAAATCATTGAGGATCGTAAGACACCATTGGAAATCGAGAGAAGTCACCAGAAATCAAGAAATCACTTTGTTCCCCTTGAATTTGTTGTAGAAGTGTGTAACCAAATCAAATGCCACATATCGCTATATGATATTTAGTCGCATCAATCATTTATGTGCTTCCAAACAACTGTGATGTGATTCTGCAGATCATAGAAAATCACTATGAAAACACACGATGTCTCAACTTAATCGGAAATCAAATCGTAGCGATCGCTTCTCTCGTCGTCCATCGTCATTACGTACTGGTATCACAATTATTCTGTATAACGGATCTAATTTAGAATCAAACGAAGGTGAAAAGATAAATAATTGCATACGTGCTCTTGATAATTGTTATATTTTCCACTGCACGAACAACTCGAAATGCATTAAATATCTGAAACGGGCACAGCGACATGAATACATAGTTATCGTTTTCAATGTCAACAGTGGTTTGATAAGTCCTACTCAAATCGCTGAACTATGTCAATATAAACAAATACAACATATTTTCATTATATCCCTAATGAGTGAGCAAAATGCAAGCACTGACACTGATCTTTCAGTCTATACACGAAATGAAGTCAATCTAATTGTCGGAGTATTTCGTGATTGTGACTCGTTAGAAATTCGATTGCAACAGCTGATTAGCGAAGTGAACGAATCTGATGATGATTTATTTACGTTTGTTAATCAATCTGAAAAGGCATTGAGAAATCTTCGAGACGAACTCGGTCCGTACATATGGAGTCAAACATACAGAGGTTAGTCTTTGTTTCTACGGAAAGATCTCGTACTATACATTTACTCTCCTAGTTATTCTGGGTGCTATGCCATATAATTCACTGGATGCAAAACGAGATATGTTGATTGAATGCCGAGCTTGCTGTTATTTCAGTAAACATGATTTGAAAACGATTGATGAATTTAGACGTACATATACTGCAACAAATGCCATTTATTGGTATACAAAATCATGCTTTCTGTATCGTATAATTAACCGAGCTCTGCGTACAGAAGATAATATGGTGTTATACAAATTTCGCTTCTTCATTATTGACTTATGCGCACGTCTGGAAGAAAAGGCTCTGGCAAAAGTCGACTGTACACAGCCATTTTCTGTCTATCGAGGATCAAAACTCCGACGAGATGAAGTCGAGAAACTGGAAGTTGGATCATTAGTGGCAACGAACAGTTTTTTCTCGTCATCAAAACATTTATCAACTGCGCAGAATTTTATTGGTATAAGTTCGAACGTGGACACATCGCCGAGTCGTGGTCGTCATGACCGATATCAATATGTTTTATTTAAAATCGATATTGATTTGCACAACTCGCCAGATGTTGTGGTTGCTGATGTGTCCAGTGAAAGTGCTGTGCCGGACGAGAATGAGATGCTTTTCAATTTGGGTACTACTTTTGTTATTGCTGATATTCGTTACGATGACATGCAGCGAGTTTGGAGTATTCGAATGACGTCCTCTTCTGAAGCGGCTAAACTTATGCAAGAGTATAGACAACATGTTCAAAGTCGTTTCGTCGAAACCAAGCCAGCGATCCTGTTTGGACATTTTACATCTGAAATATCGAGCAACTATCATGGAGCGTTGAACTATTTCCATCGCCTATTGCGTTCGACGTCATGGAATGATGAAGATCGACCAGACATCTATTACTGTCTCGGTCGCGTTTATCGTGCAATGGGGAAACATGAACAGGCTATAACATATCTTCGCGCTGCTCTTCTATTACAACGTCGTCTATTACCAGATGCAGGTAGGGTTTATGGTCGCATGTTATCTTGTTTAGGAAGTGTCTTCTGTGAATCTGGAGATTCCCTACGAGGAAAACGGTTATATGAACAAGCAATGCTTATCTACCAAGGTATTCTACCCAAAAATCACTATGAATTTGGCTTTCATTTGAACAGACTTGCAAATGTATATTGGCAGCTTGGACAGTATGAACTTACATCGAATTTACTGAAGAGTACTTTACTATTTGTTGAAAATACAATGCCAGAAAAGTCATCAGCTCATGCACAGACATTGCATATTATGGGACTTGCGCAACGTTCGTTGAACAATCGAAAAGACGCGATTCATTATTTCCAAGAATCGATAAAAGTGCGCGAGTCTTCGCAAGCTAATGATCATCCATATGTCGCTCGAACATGTTACGAATTGAGTGAATTGTACGCTGAAGAAAATAACTATTCAATGGCTCTCGAATACGCGCACAAATCGCTACGTATTCGAGAGTTAAAATTGCCACAAAATCACCCACAGCGGCAACAGTCCATCGATCTTGTTGAACGTTTGAACCATTTGTATCACGAAGCTGAATGTTTGTGAAAACCATTATTAACACTTTTGACATTGATTTAGAATACTGAATCGATCATTTTTGTTTTTCGATCTTAGTGAACAAGGTAATAGTTCGCCGGTTCATGGTAATGAGAAGCAGGAAGTTCACAGTACTGACTTTTGTCAGTATAAGACGTATCATGAATTCATGTGAAACATTATCTTAAGCTAGATGAATATTTTTTACTACTGCGACAAACTGGACTGATGAAGCATACGAGCAATATGAACTAAGCCATTGTCTCATACAGTAGAAGTCATCGAATGGATGGGTGCCATTGATTATGGAATACATAGTCCACAGTCAAAGAATTTTAACAAGATCAGAAAGCAGATTGCAAACATATTAATCCTACGTTGTCTAAAGTTCAGTTTATATAGAACTTTTCTCAGATCGAAACTGGATTATAACCTATTGGGGAAGCGTACGATAAACTTCATGCTACGCGGTGGAGGTTTTGTACAGCGGAGAAAAATATGAGCTGCATACGATGATTTAATCGATTTTTTCCTCGATATAGGTTATTGAAGCAAAGAGTAGCGTGTAGCGGCCGTCAAGTATTGAAATAAACACAAAATTAATGTGACAGGTGATTTTGCATCTATAGAATGAGAGCCCAAGTAAAACAATGAAGTAAGCGCGTTTGTGTATGTTTACATCATAATATATACCTAAATTGCCGCTTATCTGCATCAATACTCGCGATGGCCAGTACTACTGATCATTCGTCTCAAACTATTGAAGAGAATTTAGCGATATGTATACGGCGGTGTGGATTTCAAAATGTCACTCTCAAAGATAGTTTACAAGTGATGTTTGTGATTTTCATACCAATAATTAGAAGTGCTTTAACTATTATTTCTATGGAGAATACAACGCGTATCCATCAAGCCAATCGAGAAAACGTTTTGGATATTGCTCGATAACGGCGTCTTAGTGACGAACAACGAGCATTCGAAGTGGGTAACGAAACTACTTTCACTGAATTTGTCACGAATATCGCCGATGTTCTTCTAAAAGCCTCGTCTCAATCGATAACAAAGCTTCACTATGGAATCATACGTGGATTGATTGCAACTGTTTTCCGACGCGTTGATTCTCAGAGAAAGAAACACTCCATACAATACTTGCATGGTGTAAGAATTTTGCGACGTGGCTCAGGACCATTCGGTGTCTCTGTTTTACAGGCAAATGAGATGCATCTGAAAGATGTTATTTTGAATGGTATGGATTTCAGCGAACTCGAACTCCCCTATATCTTCTTACGAAATACGTCTTTAATCAATGCATCATTTGTCAATTCAAACTTAGAATATGCTGATTTTACTGGTGCTAAGCTCAACGGAGTCAAATTTTTGAATACACAGCTACAAAACACAGATTTCACTCGAGCATCTGTTCGTAATATACAACTGTGTGGAACAACTCTTTTTGGTTCATCAATAACTGGTGATCAGATCGTTCAAGCGTTAATCATGTACAATACGAGTTATCCGAACGGGACATATGCTCGAGACAAAATATATGTTGTCAACGGTGATGCTCAACAAGGAACAGTCGGATGGAATGTTACACGTGGAAACATTGATGTAGTATCTTCCTCTTTTACAACTAATCAGGATGCGTCTATGGTACAATTTATTGATCTGGTGGAAATACTGAACGCTGAGTTACCTGATGATATTTATTATTGTGTTTCTTTTCGATACAGTCGTTTATATATGAAGTTGATAGATTCAACCAGAGAATATCCTCGTACGCCTTTGATCGAAAGTTAAAAAGGAACTGGCTTCGTGTTTTCTTTTTCTTCTTCAATATATCTTTAGCCAATTCATATATCTGCTACAATCAACTAGATCAAACTGAATTACCATATTTGGATCATTTCGTTTCTGTGTCTAAGTCTCTATATTCTGGTGCAAAGCGCAAAAATATTGAACGACCTACTTCAACAAATAAGTCTGTAGTTTCAACAGCAACCTCACAATTCACTCGCCATTTGAACACTGGAATGCATTTACCAGTCAAGGAAACTTGAAGAAGATGTGCTTACTGTAGCACAAGCAAAATACAAGTCGGATCAACCATCGAATGTTCTAATTGCAAGCTAGCCTTTTGTGTAACAGATGAGAAAAACTGTTTCTACGAATACCATAAACATTTCATGTAGAGGTTTCGAGGTAAGTTTAATAAACTTACAAAAACAAGAGATTTCTAACAGAAAAAAGTCAGTCCTGAAAGGGTTAAACTATTAAAATAATGTACTATTTTGCAAATCATGATACTATTGAAGTCTGACTTCGATTATAATATTCATTAAAAAATGTAATATTCTTTGTAAAACTCTTCATTTCGCTTGATAGAGTCATATAATATACATTTACATCTTCGTACTCTTTTACTTTTATGGAAATAAATGTTTAGGCATGATAAACAATTTTCTCAAGCATTAAATATACACTTCACTTTATCTTTATTTTCTTTTTCTTCGCTTGGACTTTTTCTCATTTATTGTTNTGACTTCTATTATAATATTCATTAAAAAATGTAATATTCTTTGTAAAACTCTTCATTTAGCTTGATAGAGTCATATAATATACATTTACATCTTCGTACTCTTTTACTTTTATGGAAATAAATGTTTAGGCATGATAAACAATTTTCTCAAGCATTAAATATACACTTCACTTTATCTTTATTTTCTTTTTCTTCACTTGGACTTTTTCCTCATTTATTGTTTCTTCATCTACATTTCATATTTCTACAATATTCAGTATCAGCCAAAGCTTTGAAGAGTAAAAGTAAAATTTGTCGACATTCTCTTTGAGTTTTGCTGGTAAGTAAGACTTTCTAAACTTGATTATTTTTTCTATAGGCATATTGTGAGACTTATTATCTATGACAACATTCTATTTAATTTCAAATAGAATCGCATAGACGCTCATTAGCGTGTGCGTTCAGATTCACATAAATCGTCACGTAATCATAGGAAAATACAGTAAAGGAGGTATCAGAAAAGAATTTCATTTTGAGTGAGTTTAGTAGTTGAAATCTGCACCGAAGGGACCACGAAAGCTTAATTCCTTCCTCAAGTCGCCATACTGAATTTTTCAAAGTTTTCACCCTCAAGATGACTCTTAAAACTACTTGCCTAAATATTTATGAAATGTTCATTAGGATCTCCGTTATTAAGTATCATATCAGCGATCTTTTTAACATCTAGAAATCAATTATCATCAACAGCTTATTATCAAAGAAATGATTGTGAGACATTTGTTTTATTGGTTTCCAAATCGCATTCACAATTATAATCTTTTCATATCCAGTGAAGATGAATATGAATATGATACTTATCAATCAAAAGATCCAACAACACTTCTTAAGCAACAACGTTATACAACTTGGCTTTATGTTTTTCTTCTCATAAGTAAGTATCTTCATCTTGTTCTGCTATCATTCGAGATATGCTTGATATTAGATACATATCAAGAAAGATTTTAGTTTTTCTTTATGTACTCTTCTTTGTCGCATTACTAAATCCACAACGTCGAACAGTGACAATTCAAAACATCACTCCAACCCTCTTCGAACAACTTTCTTTTGAACATGGTGAAACACTTTCATGTCCTTGTTCAACAATTACGATGTCATACAACACCTTTGTTACAAGTAATATCTCATCTCATGCTGTATGTTCAAGCGTTTTTGTCAGTCGAGAATGGATTGAAGCAATGTATATAGAAGATGCAAGTCGATATGCAGCGATGGATTTTCGAACAACAGCCAAATCTCAAGTGAGTTTATTTACAATTAAAAATATCAAGTTCCTTGTAAAATACCCATCCTTATTTCTAGTTCGATCTATTAGCCGCTTTATGTACAGCTTCGAAAGATGCTGTTTCTCAAGCACTACAGAATATGGACAATCAAGAATTAGTCACTGTTCAACTTCTTGCAGCGAAAGACGTTCAATCTGAAGTGAGAGCAAATGTTGATTTCATTTTGACGATGGCACTATCTCAAGTCACTTCAATTTTAAATTTTTTGCAAGTTTTATATCGATCAAATACTTTGGTTTCTGCTCTGAATACAAATTCACTAATTATTTTCCATGATATGTCAGCTTTGGGTAGTCCCTCTCGAATATTGATGGGTTCTTTATATTATTCGAACATCACATTCGATTTTAACGATACTGCGTTCGAATTATCTTGTAGTTACAAAAATCCAAGTGTTCCAGCTGGTATTTTTGCAATGCCAGATCCCATAGAGGAAGGTAGCCGTGCATTCTGGTTTAATGTTCCTCTATACCGTGAGTTATTTGTGTTCGCAATGATTGATGGATTTTTTGGAGGATGTACACCACTTGATGCCCTTCTTGCAAGTACACTTGATTGTTTATACAATTTGGAATGTCTCAACATTTTGCCTGCATACTTTCCACGCCTTAATCAGGTATCTGTCATACAAATTTATATGTACGTAGAATAGATAACCGTCTTCTTCTAGACAAATCACTTGTGGAACAACAAACTTCCACCTACACAACGACGAAATGTTTCTGTGAAAAATTTAATCGAGAGTTTTTTCATCGAAAATCAATCGTCAGAAGTTAATTATAAGAATTATTTTGATCGATGTGATCCTTCGTTCTGCACATATACGACAACAGATCAAGTTAACTTTTCTTATATAATCACTCTTCTAATTAGTCTTTATGGTGGTTTAACTGCTATACTTCGATTCATCGCACCTTTTCTAACATATTTAGTACTGACAATCAAAGGTCGTTCTTCAAAGATTACTATGAATCATAGTATGTGTTGAGCACAATATGATTAACATTGTCCTACATATTATATGTATACTGTCTTTATAGAACGATGGTTACTATATATTCGCCAATTAGGTCAATGGATAAAACAATTGAATCTGTTCAAATCAGCTAGTAATCGAACAAGAAATGACATAAAACAACAACGTATAACTACGCGCCTCTTCTTGATTCTGTTCATAAGTAAGGCTTTGTTTAATAAGTCTCTCAGATTACTTTCGTAACACCCATTATCTTCATTTCTTTGCTCTATAGATTTTATTCTCATATTTCTTTTGTACTATTCATTCAAGACTCAAACTATTACAATGATTGAGCATAATCCATTATTAAACACATACAAGAATTTACAAACAATACATTCGAGTACACTGAGATGTCCTTGTTCAAAGATGGCAATGCCATATAAAACATTCACTTCATTATCACCTACATTTCATCAGATTTGTTCAAGTGATTTAGTTGATGAGTTATGGATCTCATTGCTTACAACTGCAGGGACTAATCATCCTTGGAACACATGGATAATTGAAGCGGGTCGCTATTTTCAAATGTTATCATCTCTCTGTGAATTAATCAAAAAAACAGTTGATGAAAATGTTCATCGATTTTTGGCACAAACTCTTGTCACTTCACATGTACTTCTCGTATCTGATTTCAATGCTCAATTAAATACTACTATTACACAGTTTACACAATCAATAAGCGCGAGTTTTAGTCTTTTAACTGATGCGATGCGTACTTTTATGCAAATAGATCAACCTTTGACAGCATTCACAACAGAAGATTTCAAACAACTAGCCCTATGGACTTTTGTAAACCCTAATACTAGTGCAAACGCAATGCAAGTATGTATTTTGTCACTCTAAAACGAGATATGATAATAGTTCAACACCTGGTTTCCAATGAGAAAATTTCTATTTTTCTTAGTATATAAAGACTTCCTACTAAATACTTTCATTCACATTAAAAGAGGATAAACGGCCAACAACATAAAATGGGATGTCCATTAAAAAAGTTAGATATTTTCTATTAGCTTTTATGTTTTCTACAGAATACTTAATTGAATCATTCTCATCTACTTTAATGTGATCGTATTTCGTTGATCTATGAACGGAGCTATGCATTCTAATCAATATCGAAACTAAGGATATCTTTTATTTTCCATACAGATCAAATTCCAGTTGAATACATTAACTACCAATGATTTGACATCTGTCACCTGTGTTTGTGCTACCGATACGCAATGTAAAAGTCCATTAGCCATCAAAATTATTAAGACATACAATATCTTTGATCAATCATCTAGCAATTCTGTGCACGATATTAATGGATATATGCCCCCAGGTATGTTTCAAAGTTGCTTTACTATTGAATCACTTCTTCCATCAACGCTCGAATGCTTCTTTTCGGCCTCCGATTGTTTACCAATCATATTATACAATTTAAACCAAATGGATTCATCCACAGAAATACCATGGGTCAATGTTCATCCACTACTTTACCGTGAAGGATCAACTCAGTTCCCTTCAAATATTTCGCTGTCATTGATATTGAAAGAAATGATGATTGAACAATGGAATCCATCATTTTCATTTAATAAATATTACAACTCATGTTCACCAAGTTATTGTACTTATTCTGATACAAGAGATGGACAAAGTTTCATTGAAATTGTTATAACATTGGTCTCTATGATTGGTGGTTTAAGTGCTGTACTACGTCTTGTTACACCTCAACTTGTCAAGTTAACCTTTCGTCTAATACAATCAAAAATACAAAATCAACAACAAAGTAATTGAGAACAGAATCTCTTAATTATTAATCAGAATAGTAGAAGAAAATGCGAACAAAATCTTCACATTATTTAACAAGATTTTCATATTCTACCATTTTTCTGAATATACAGACACAAGATATATGATTAGTAAATATGATAGGAGAGTTTGAATGATTCGTTGTTTAGTTTCGTTTTAACTGAATCTTTCATATGTAGAACGTCAAAAATTGTTTGATCGATTGAAAACCAAAGTGAAAGAACTGATCAGATTAATACACAATGAACTGATAAATCTCAATTNAAAACAGTTGATGAAAATATTCATCGATTTTTGGCACAAACTCTTGTCACTTCACATGTACTTCTCGTATCTGATTTCAATGCTCAATTAAATACTACTATTACACAGTTTACACAATCAATAAGCGCGAGTTTTAGTCTTTTAACTGATGCGATGCGTACTTTTATGCAAATAGATCAACCTTTGACAACATTCACAACAGAAGATTTCAAACAACTAGCCCTATGGACTTATGTAAACCCTAATACTAGTGCAAACGCAACACAAGTATGTATTTTGTCACTCTAAAACGAGATATGATAATAGTTCAACACCTGGTTTTCAATGAGAAAATATCTATTTTTCTTAGTATATAAAGACTTCCTACTAAGTACTTTCATTCACATTAAAATAGGATAAACGGCCAACAAAATAAAATGGGATGTCTATTTAAAAAGTTAAATATTCTCTATTAGCTTTTATACTTTCTACAGAATACTTAATTAAATCATTCTCATCTACTTTAATGTGATCGTATTTCGTTGATCTATGAACAGAGCTATGCATTCTAATCAATATCAAAACTAAGGATATCTTTTATTTTCCATACAGATCAAATTCCAGTTGAATACATTAACTACGAATGATTTGACATCTGTCACCTGTGTTTGTGCTACCGATACACAATGTAAGAGTCCATTAGCCATCAAAGTTATCAAGACATACAATATCTTAGATCAATCATTTAACAATTCTGTGCACGATATTAATGGATATATGCCTCCAGGTATGTTTCAAGGTTGCTTTACTATTGAATCACTTCTTCCATCAACACTCGAATGCTTCTTTTCGACCTCCGATTGTTTACCAACCCTATTATACAATTTAAACCAAATGGATTCATTCGTAGAAATACCATGGGTCAATGTTCATCCACTACTTTACCGTGAAGCATCAACTCTGTTCCCTCCAAATACTTCGCTGTCATTGATATTGAAAGAAATGATGATTGAACAATGGAATCCATCACTTTCGTTTAATAAATATTACAAATCATGTTCACCAAGTTATTGTACTTATTCTGATACAAGAGATGGAAAAAGTTTCATTGAAATTGTTATAACATTGGTTTCTATGATTGGTGGTTTAAGTGCTGTACTACGTCTTGTTACACCTCAACTTGTCAAGTTAACCTTTCGTCTAATACGATCAAAAATACAAAATCAACAACAAGGTAATTGAGAACAGGAACTCTTAGTTATTAATCAGAATAGTAGAAGAAAATGCGAACAGAATCTTTACATTATTTAACGAGATTTTCATATTCTACCATTTTTCTGAATATACAGACACAAGATATATGATTAGTAAATATGATAGGAGAGTTTGAATGATTCGTTGTTTAGTTTCGTTTTGACTGAATCTTTCATATGTAGAACGTCAAAAATTGTTTGATCGATTGAAAACCAAAGTGAAAGAACTGATCAGATTAATACACAATGAACTGATAAATCTCAATTTATTTCCACCATGGACCTTTGGAAGTAATGTCGATCGTGCGACATCAAAACATTTTGGTCAATTATCCACTCGTCTTTACATTGTTCTTCTCATCGGCACTTTTGTCATTCTCGCTCTCTACACAGTTGTTCGACCTCAACCATTGAAAAAAACATTTCTTAGCCCATCTTTACATATCTACAATAGTCTTATCCAAGAGCATGGAAATGAGCTTCAATGTCCTTGTTCAAGAATTTCATCACAATACACAAATCATGTGACAATCAAATCAATATTTCATCAGGTAACGTCTTGAGAAGGAAGAGATTTCTACTAACATGTATCTTCTGACTAACAATAGGTTTGTTCAAGTCATTTTGTTTCGAGTGAATGGCGAACAGATCTTACAAAAGGCCTCGTTTCTAATTTATCTATTTATGATCAAAGAGACTATCGTCGTTTTCTCTCAGCTCATTTACAATTTCTCACTCAATTGTGTGAACTTTCCAATCAATCAGTCGAATATTCTGTTCAACAAAGTCTTTCTTCACTTCTAATCACCAACCAACTTCTATCAGAAACATTGTTCGTTTCACGTATTGAATCGATGATTGTTAAGACTAAATCAAATGCTCCTTCTACACTTGCTCGTCTTCTCTTTCTCTTGCGATCAACAAATCGTGGAAACGCATTTGTTTCGACGTATGGAACAAACTTTCACTATATTATACCTCCATATACTGAATTCGACTTTAAGAAAGTCGCTTGTTACACCGAAGCAATGTTGTATGATAATAATTGTTCATGTGGATTGAATACAACGTGTACTGTACAAGCCACTTTTACTAAAACAAACTTATCCAATACTGTACCAATCAATGGATTAAAGATGGGTTGTACACCAACTGAATCATTCTTAGCATCAACTCTCGAATGTTTCTACAATTCATCATGTATTGATCTGATGTTTGAAATGACAAATTTTAAAAACACTACGAGAAATATTTCTTATACTTTAAACACAACTATCAATCGTTTTCCAGTAAATATCACAGTTGCTGATCTTGTCAATGAACTATTTGTTGAAAAATGGTCAACACTCATGAATTATTCATCATATTTTGATTCATGTTCACCTCTATTCTGTTCATATACTTATACACAAAAACTTGATTCATTTTATACGATAACTTACTTTCTTGGTCTTTATAGTGGTCTTTCACTTATTCTCAAGTGGATATGTCCACAAATCATTTATTTGATGATTAAAATGTATGAATATCGAAAGAAACGAAGACATGTAGTTGAACCCATATCTAATACTGAGATAGCAACTAATACTCAGCAAACCAGCACGACAAAGCATCCGTATAACTTCTGTATTTTATTGATGTCATCATAAAAAAATTATATTTTTTTCAGGATAATTTCATTTAGGACATCATTATGTTATTGTGGGCTGGGTGTTATACTGTTCTTACTAGTTGCAATACTCCTTGTTGTTTCAATTGTTTATTATATTCAACAAAATAACAAACAATTTCGAACAATAAGTATACTATCGGAATGACTTGTTAGATATTTTAGCTCATTGATGTTTGTATAGATGATGTTTCTAATATAACTGTTAATATGATCGATGAACCTGTCAATGTAACAAATGCTGTTGTGACACCAGGTAACATATGATAGGAATATAAACCTTATTGTATCACATTATGTAATCATAAGAAATTGAACAAAAAGTTTTCAATTATAAGTAACTCAATTATGGCATCGAGTGGGATCTTGAGTTGAAGTGTCATCTTTTCCCGTAATTCTTACTTTAGTTAATGTTGATATCATTTGCTCATATTTTTGTATCAAAATATTATTTAACATCGTCCTCACAAAATCGTTGAAGTGATATTCAGCGAAATTGATATAGAGTGAAATTTTCACTATTTGTTTCTCTTCCAGTAGATAATTCATCATTGGTAATCTCAACTTATGTCTCAGATTTAACTACATGTAGTTCAACATACTGTCGTGAAGGCTTTTGTTCTGAATCGCTCTATTACTATCAAGCTTTACTGATCAATGTATCACTAAGTGGATTTTATAGTATTTTATCGGGCAGTGATATCGTCGCATATGGATATTTGTACAATGGCACTTTCGATCCTTGGATTCCTTCTGACAACAAAATCCTTGAGAATTACGGTGGTCCTGCGCTTGGAGAGTTTGGATTGAAATATTTTTTACAGCGTTTAGAAACATATATCGTGGTTGTGACAACACTTTATACTTATTCGACAGGACACTTTTGGCTATTTGGATATGGTCCAGCAACAATCAATTATAATCAACTAAATCTGACAGGTAAATACTTTATCTATATAACATTAACTCTTATAGCAAAATGTAAAATGATACAAGGAGAGAACGTTTGAGACTATGTACATGTATGATATTTTAGTGTCATATCATTTAGTGAAACAGTAGTCGATGATCTTATCACTTTTGAGTGAAAAATACTACAACTGATCATTAATGCTAATGTTTTGGAAATAGCAATTTACAGACATAAATAGAGAAGATTAGAAGAGAGCTCAAATTCAGTTTTTCCTTCTAGAGAATTTTTGTGATAATCCTTTACAATCACGTTTAGAAAACATATTACTCGATAGAATTAACAAGAAAAAAACTCTTTGAATTGTTTCTATGTTTTGTTCNTTGTTAGATATTTTAGCTCATTGATGTTTGTATAGATGATGTTTCTAATATAACTGTTAATATGATCGATGAACCTGTCAATGTAACAAATGCTGTTGTGACACCAGGTAACATACGATAGGAATATAAACCTTATTGTATCACATTATGTAATCATAAGAAATTGAACAAAAAGTTTTGAATTATAAGTAACTCAATTATGGCATCGAGTGGGATCTTGAGTTGAAGTGCCATCTTTTTCCGTAACTCTTACTTTAGTTAGTGTTGATATCATTTGCTCATATTTTTGTATCAAAATGTTATTTAACATCGTCCTCACAAAATTGTTGAAGTGATATTCAGCGAAATTGATACAGAGCGAAATTTTCACTATTTATTTCTTTTCCAGTAGATAATTCATCATTGGTAATCTCAACTTATGTCTCAGCTTTAACTACATGTAGTTCAACATACTGTCGTGAAGGCTTTTGTTCTGAATCGCTCTATTACTATCAAGCTTTACGGATCAATGTATCACTAAGTGGATTTTATAGTATTTTATCGGGTAGTGATATCGGCGCATATGGATATTTGTACAATGGCACTTTCGATCCTTTGATTCCTTCTGACAACAAAATCCTCGAGAATTGCGGTGGTCCTGCGCTTGGAGAGTTTGGATTGAAATATTTTTTACAGCGCTTAGAAACATATATCGTGGTTGTGACAACACTTTATACTGATTCGACAGGACATTTTTGGCTATTTGGATATGGTCCAGCAACAATCAATTATAATCAACTAAATCTGACAGGTAAATACTTTATCTACTTAGGGTGATCCAAAAGTTCCCGGAACAAGACTGTCATTTTTTAGAAAACAATGCAGGAAACGTTGTTTTTATGGATTCAGATAGAGAAAAGAATGCTCTATTTTTCTAGGCTAATTGATCATACTTTAAGTGATAGGCAAAACTGGCACTTCAAAAAAAGTGGTTCTCCGCGAATGTCTCCTGGTTATAATGCTACGGATGTGATAAAAAAAGGAAACGAATTCTGCGAATAACTTTTGGTAGGAGCAAGATAGAGAACTGCGGCTTTCAGCATTAGAAAGCGCGAGTGAGGATGCATTGATTCACATCCTGCGGACATTTTCGTCAAGTGCATATATGACTTCTAGCTTTGCTTTTTTTAAGCACGTCTATTACATGAGATAATATGAACTATTTGTGCCGTTTTTTGGTAACTTGCGTTTAAATTGAAAGTTTTAATCCAGGAACTCGCTATTGCCAAAATCTGAAATCAATACAACGCATTGTAGTTAAAATGAAATTTTTTTAACGAGACTATGCGGAAATACTTACTGTCTTGTTTTTCGAAAAAGAAACATCTTTCACGCGAACTAAGGAATCGAATGGAAACAATTTAGCTCTTAATGTTTGAATAATAGAAGTTATGTGATTCAGGGCATCTTGACTCGCGCTTTCTAAGAGGGAAGATCACAGCTCTCTATTTCGCTCCTATAGAAAAGTATTCACAAATACTCATCATAGTATCTGTCATTATGAGACATTACCGAGAAAACAGTTTATTGAAATACCAATTTTGTACTTTCGTTGATCAAATAGCCTAGAAGGATAGAGCATTCTTTTCTCTATCTGAATCCATAAAAAGAACGTTTCCTACATTGTTTTTAAAAAAATGACAGTCTTGTTCCGGGAACTTTTGGATCACCCTAAGTATATAACATTAACTCTTATAGCAAAATGTAAAATGATACAAGGAGAGAACGTTTGAGACTATGTACATGTATGATATTTTAGTGTCATATCATTTAGTGAAACAGTAGTAGATGATCCTATCAGTTTCGAGCGAAAATACTACAATTGATCATTAATGCTAATAGAAAAGAATGTTTTGGAAATAGCAATTTACAGACTTAAATATAGAAGATTAGAGGAGAGCTCAAATTCAGTTTTTCCTTCTAGAGAATTTTTGTGATAATCCTTTACAATCATACGTTTAGAAAACATATTACTCGATAGAATTAACAAGAAAAAAACTCTTTGAATTGTTTCTGTGTTTTGTTCTTTTACTTTCTTTGCTTAGGTCCTTCGAAAATACGATCCAGCTATTCATCAGCTTTGACATATTTTAGTTCAACATATTGTCATAGAGGTGTTTGTTTGGGCTCACTTTACTATTATCAAGCTGTTAAAATCAACATTTCAATAAGTGGATATCATACTATTGTATCGAACAGTAGTATGGATACTTATGGATATTTGTATAATAGTACTTTTGATCCGTTGATTCCTTCTCAAAATTTAATCGTTCAGAACGACGACGATGCTGGAAATCATCAGTTTAAGTTAAGATATCTTTTTCAATCTGCAGAAACATATATCTTGGTTGTAACAACATACTACATCAATACTACGGGATCATTTACACTTACTGCAACTGGTGAAGGATCGGTTATTTTTAATGGTAATCAAGAATAAGAGAATTTCTCTACTTTGTATTTATGTATTAAATGCTTCTGTATCGTATTTGTGGCATTTTCATTCAAACATATTTTTTGTTGTTATTATGTATTATTCAAGCTCAATTTTCTCGACTTTTTCTGTTGATTTTTTCATTTGACACTGCTTAATGTAATGTGCTGATGAGTCTCATCTTCATTTTGCTTTCAAAATAAAAGACAGATAAGAAAGCTTTAAATTAAGCGATTGATAAAGAGGGTAAAAGTGGGTTGATCTGTCAACTGCGGAAAATATTTCTTGTTATGATTGCGAGTTAGATAACCAACAAAAGCATAGTTTTAAAGTGGAAAGTAGTTAAGAGTTTTGGCTGTAGACTTCCTAGATTTGTCGCGAGACTTTGAATAACTCTTTATTGGGTATAACAAATTATATTCCAATAGGAATACGACATTAAAGAAAATGAATCTGTTTGAAAAGTGTCCTCAGTATAGTAGAAACTGTAGCAGCATGTTTGCGTCAAGGTTTTCATCGTTAAAAGCAACTGATTAAGCCGAATACTTCAGACTTCTTTCAGAAAAGGGTGTGCGAATCTGAGAGATGAGCGTTACTTATGAAACGATACGTGTCAGAAGGCAATGAATTGCGCCTGCACTTGTGAATATCGGTTAAATGATTAATAAAAGAAGAGAAAAAAGACACACTATAGAATATGGTACTTGTTAACAGAAGATTTCTTTTTCAGTGTCGAACAAACTTAAACGTTAATATATAGAAGACACAAGCATAATGCGATTTTGAATTGTAATATTTCTGTTGATCAGTTTTACTGAATTGAAGTAAATGAAATAGTTTGTAATTAGTTTTGCACGTCACTTCCGTCGAGAATTGTATGAGTCTTGTATACGATTGATAGATGACTGTAAACCTGGTCTTTATTGTCGTACATCTGCAAGTTGTCTACTGTTGAGTAAAACGCCAGGGATACTGTGCTGTCGATCAACTCGCGGAAAATGAAAATAGACCATACATCTTTGTCTAAGAAATTCATTTTATTCAGCTTTTAAATTAAAAAAAATTACTTAAACATGTAAAACAAAAGCAAATTCTCGAACATTAAAATCAATAGTTTTTGCATCATTTTCCAGTTTTTCGAATGCATGAATCAATCAAGACAGACTTTATTCCTGTTTGTTACAACAAATAAAAAACGTGTATACGCGATAGGGATGTACTGATCATAATTCGTCATGTTCGATTCGAACCGTAACATTGGTTTCCACTTGATTATGCCATCGGTGAACTTTCTCTATGAAACGACCGTCTCTTTCAACATGTAACTTGTTACAGCATTTTTGATACCATTCTTCGATTTCGTTCCATTGCGACACAAAACTTATATGGTATTTGCCCTTACGATATTCGATTGCTCGGCAAGTTAAGTGTGTATTTGTGGCGTATCCATCTTGAATAGCGAAGCTTAAATGTAAGTCATTTGCTTTACCTTCACCTATAAATCGCAGGACGGACCATTGTTTTCCAAGTTGCATTTCGATTTCCGAATCATTGAAAGTGTCGAGTTTTAGAATTGAGTTTATACGATCAGGGTTGCAGTCAATAGGTTTTGCCTCACTTTGTCCCATCGGTGATTATCTAAAGCAATAAGACTTTTTTCTATCGAATGTACGTGGAAGGTCAAATTCATTTGCAGATGAATCAAATGTCGACAACGAATCTACACACGTTAAAATATTACTGTCAAAACACTACATGTACGCATAGAAGAAAAAAGGTAATAACGATAATAAATAAAGGCGCATGTCGGTGATATTTATACGTGTTGACTCAGCATGTTGGTAAGGTAACCATAAACGACTTGGTATATTTGCGCGTTACCTTTGAAATAAAATCAATAGAAAAACAACTAATCGAGAATGAGGATTGCGTTAATTCATATTTTGATAATTAAAGTTTTTGAAACTTTTGAACTCGGCGATTGTTGAATTCTGTCACACACGTATTCATCCCTTCATCAAATACGAAAACAGGTGATTGATCGAATCGGATCGAATTACCACCGGAAACACCGGTCTCAGCGGTATTTTCAACAGTGCTACTATTGCCACAAGAAATTGCATAAGATGAAACATAAAATTCGCAGCTATTGTTTCGAATTACTGTTTATCTAGCAAAAGTAAGGCACGCGGCCATTATGCAACAAAGATTACGATTAGTTCATACGATTGAAAGTAAAAGAAAAGTTTTTGATGATTGATTGCATGTTTGTTTGATTATATATCTTTCTTTATTATGTAGAAGATTTACAATATGTACGGATTTGTATTGCAAATGAAGAAAGAAAAAAAGAATTTCTTTTCTCTTCCAACACAATTAGTAGGTTCTTTGTTTGAGAACGATAGGGTTGCTTTGGTGCTAAACTCACGAATACTTGCACAACCTCGACGTACATAGAACATGAAGAGAGTGTTCGCGCACGAGCGGATGGACAAGTGGTGATTATCTAAATACTACGTGAGCGAAATTTTTAGGACAAAATCTTACTAGAATTCGAAGCTGAGACTGATTATATGGGTGATTGGTAGGCTATTACAAAAGAATTGATATTTCTCTATAAGTCATTGTTTCTTCTATCCGATACACTTTTTTGAAGTACACATAAAGTTTCGGATAAAATCCGAAGTTCTCGCATTTTTTTTGTTTTCACAGAAATTGAAAGTTGGAAGTTTCCTGGTGATGTTGTTGTTTTTCGTTTCTCTTCAGTGATCCTTCGGACGCATTACTGCGCTTCTGTTTCTGATCCAGAATTTGTTTTGCGCCTTTCTCAACGGCAAACGCGTTTCAGATAAAAGATACAGGCAACTGAACGATAGTTTCGCTTTCGACACGTGACACAAATTGTTACCATTACTTATCTTATTTCTACCGAGAAACGATGTCTGATGAGCGGCGGAATTAAGATCGCCTCGCAAGAGAACTGACTCGAACGCTACAGTATGGCAAATGCGAGTACAGGAACGTCGGAAATGACAAGCGGAACGTGAACAAGTTATATCGGTAAGATAATATGACAGATTAGGAAACATACAAGCACGAGAGCAAAAGCATTGGGAAAGTCGACTTAAAAAGGATGAAGACGACGTTGATAGACGTTCAAATCCAGAACGCGTTGTACGAGGCAGAATATTAGTGAGAGAGCTCTGTGCAGAAGATGCGTGTGAGAAGACTAAAAGTCCGACAAGTTCATCACCCGTCTCGACACTTACTTTCAGGAAATCGTTCGATTCGAATCAAATATCCAGGGATAACCTTCACCTTGGGGCGCCATTCGGCATCGTCCTGCTGCAAGTAATTATGGCCAAAGAACATCGAGCAAAGTAAGTGAATGCAAGAAGATTTTTCTAGCACGCCAATTCATATCATATTTACAATGACCAAGTGCTCTATTTAACGCAAAGCATGATCGTTGATATTGCACTTCATGTTATGGGCCTGAACATAATGATGTATTAGATGCTGGCGGCGCACGTTATGTGATACCACGTGGTTGGATACGTTTAGGTGTCTATGTTGATCAAGTCAAGCAAGAAGTTAACGATATTTGGAATAAATGGCCTGTGACTTATCACGGTACCCAACAAGAAGCTGCTTTGCCAATTCTAACGCAACGTATTTTTAGCACTCCTGGCGATCAATTACTCGGTGGCTCCATCTTACCCATTCGTCCTGGGTAGTATTTCATCTACACATCATCTACCAGTGCTTACGCTGGTCTTCCTGTTTATGCTCCGTCGTATAATTTCATTTCAAACGAAAGTAGTCGATACAATGTAAAATTCGCTCTGGCCTGCCGACTAGATCCAAAACTAGTGAATGTTCAAGCGGAAACCATGGCCAGTCAATCCAGAAGATTATGTCCGCACATTCTAAAGTCACAAATCGAATATTTCACTAAAGCACGAGCGTCTTTAGTTACTTATGGCTTACTGCTGCATATGAAACCAATAAACTAAATCTTGAGGTTTTCTTTTTTTTTTTTAACGAAAAAAATCATCTAGAAGTGCATATAGTCACGATTTCATAAGAAAAAATAAACATATCTCCTGCCATCATCGACACCGGCATCCTTTATGACTGTATAGTTTTCAGAAAACAAAATTTTATTCAAATCAAAGTCCAATAATAGAAAAAGTGCTGTAATTTCATATCAAAACACCCGTATTGTCATTGGATTTCGTTGGCATAATCTTCTGGTAGAGATCGACGGCCAGTTGATAAAGTTGAGTTTGATGTTGGAAATTCTTCAGAGATGGAATGGAATTGAGCAAGAAATGAACGGTAATCATCTTCAGATCTGTCCAATTCACCGCGTTCGAATATTCTCTATCGACAAATTCTTCAAATATTGGAATTAATTCTAAAAGATATGTTTCGATGATTTCCCCGGAAATCAAATGACCCTTATCCGCAAGGATAAAATCATATCCAATCAACGATTGATAAACTTTTCCCAGATCGTAATTAAGATCACCTTCTAAACTCAATTTAGCTCCCAGACAACTACGCATGTCCAAGAATACAATGCGATTTTCTGGTGTAAATACAGCGCTACTGAATATGGGATTTCCATGAATAATCGAACGGTACTGACCACGTTTTGCTGCTGCATATTCATTTAAATATTTGACGACGTTATCGATGAGCTCTTGCGAACGCACCATTGTCGTTGCTGATTGTCCTTGAAAATGATCATCAATACTTTTATACAAATCCAGATATTGTTCGTGTCGTGTTGAAAGTACTTTAGAATAATTTTCATAGACGTTTCCTTTTGCTTTTTCACTATCGGCTGGCAGAGATAGATGAATACGTTTGAGTGATGTGAGAAACTTCAATATTCGTCCGTGAGTGATGCATAAATTAGTGAACAGCTGCGAGAAACTAATACCCTCTATCTTTTCCAGAATAATCGAGCCAATATTCGTTTCCGCATTGTGTTCGACTCGATGCAGTTGTGGAAATAAATCTTTAATCGATGTTGGAGCATTTTCATAGAAGAAGATTTCACCTTTCAAATCGTCCATGAACGAACTTTTAATAATTAAATTATCCAAATACTGAATTGTATGTGACTTGGTGGACGGGTTCACATCGTTCGTTTGATCATCGTCCGGCATCCAACCGATTTCTTTTGCCGTATCGATCAATGCATGTACTGCTGCATCGTCAATGTAAATATCTGCGTAAGGCTTACCGAAGAACAATTCATCGTAAGGAATGTTGAAGTTTGCCAACGTTTCAATCGTTACTCGTCCGATGTCTGCTATCACGGCACCGACATTTCCTTTATGGGTTTTCATTCGACGAGCTGTTTGAATGATAATGTAATGCCCGGCAGCGTGCAATTCTTGAACCAGTCGAATATTTTGTGATTTAGGTAGAACAGTGCTGTAATCACCATACTTGGTTGGATAAGAAACGAGTGTATTGTCCAAATCGAAACAAAATCGCATCTTCCGAACTTGCACGGGAGTATCTTTGCTTTTCAATCGTTTTAAAAACGTTTTCAATTGATCGGGCGTGCCAACGCAAACAAAATCATCGGTTTGCACAGGTAGACCGACGAATGGTTCTTTATCTGTTAACATGAGTTTAATAATATGCGTAGTATAATATTCTCCGGATTCTCCGACAGCTTCGTCCAATAATTGAATACAGTATTCTTTCATAATCGATGTTGAGCTAAACGCATAAGCACCTGTGTTTGCATGCGTTGAAATCATGATCTTTTCGGCGACATCGGTAACAACTGGTGGATGTTCAGGGTCAGATGGCTCATGTTCGAATTTCAAGTAGGAAAATATCGGTTTGCCACCGTGATCTTCGAAGTAGAACGAAGCATTGAGATGAGCGGGTAGTTGACGGAAACGTTCGAGAATTGGTTTGAAATAAATCGTATCACAATCGAGAGAAATCGTCTTTCGTTCTACACGATCATCATCGATCGATTGTAACATGATGAACAAAGTCTCCG